CAACCTAACCTCACTCAACTATGAATCATAGTCATAGTCATGGTCACTAACCTAACCTCACTCAACTATGAATCATAGTCATAGTCATGGTCACCAACCTAACCTCACTCAACTATGAATCATAGCCATAGTCATCAACCTAACCTAAGTGAACTATGAGTCAATAGATTTAAAATTTAAAATTTCACTCAAATGTGTTAAAAAAGTAAATATTTTGCCATTGAATTTTTTTTGAAACAAAATTGAAACAACACTGCACAATTATAGAACAAACAACTAAAGATTACTTTTTACGTAATCTATCTATATACAGTCAGCCAGCATACAAAATACCAAATCGATACCATATCGCAAGGGAGATGATGATGATGATATTCTTGTTAACAAACATCGTCGTGAAAATAAAAAAAATCGAAAAATAAACAAACAACAAAAGTAAATATTTTGTTTCAATGACCAAAACATTCATTGGATTATCATCGACTTTTGTTTTTTGGATGGGATCCATATTTTATCTACAATATTTTTTTTATGGCACATGTCATGTTTGAAAAAAATTTCTTCCTTTAAGCTAAATAGATGATGATGATGAACTTGCCATAAGCGATTTTTTGAAAAATAAACTTTTTTTATTTGTTTGTTTGTTTATTTGATCAAAATCGATAAGAATGATTTTTGTTTTTTTCCGGGCCGAAAAAAAGAAATTTCCAAAACAATATTTTTCTCGACAATATTTTCAAATGTTGATGTCTGAAGATCAACAAAAAAATATCTTGCTTCAAAGTGATGAAGTGCTAAAAAAAATTTTGGCTAAATTTCATCATCATCATTTCGGGCAACAACAACAACAAAATTCCATTCAAATCAACTGAAGCATTCAATAATGATTCGTTTCGAGTGACCGAACGAAAAAGTGGCCAATATTCAATGAAGCAAGCAAATCAAAAAAAAAATGTCCATTTGATTCATTCAATGCGAATAGAATCACTCGATTCTATTCGATTTCACAAAGTTTTATCTATCTATTTAGGTTGTTGTTTTTGTTATTTGTAAAGAGAGATTTTTAGAAAATCAAAATCAAAAACAAAAAATTCTGGTCCGGAACATATTTGATTTCTATTTTTACTCAATTTAGTATCAAATGATCAAAATAGTATAGTCTTTTTTTTTGTTTTGTTTTTCAATTTTCAAAATTTTTGGTTAAAAGAAAAAAAAATTGAAAAATCTCGTAAAAAAAAGACAGAAAAATAAGAAATCTTTGTTTGATTCAAAAAACAACAAATCTTCCAAATGAAACTTGAACAAAAAAAAAATCTATCGATATCGACAAAATTTGTCTCAATTGAAAAATCAAATCAATTTGTCAATTTATTTTCGCCTGTTTCACTGTCGTTTTCAGAAAGTGATGTTCACATTGTGACGTTTTTTTTTCTAAAAAAAAATTTGAAAAACTTTAAATTGAAAAACAAAAATTTTGTTGACAAAAACAAAAAATTCAACAATGACGTAGTCGAACAACAACAAATGACGTTTATCAATGAAAAGGGAAAAAAGTTTTGATCAACATTTGCCTGAAACGATAATGATGATCAACAAAACTATACTAGCAGTCGGAAATCAATGTCTGTTTTTTTGGTGAATGATAAACAAACAATCAAATGATTCTGGACGACTAAATTGAAAAAATGCAAACAAAAATTTGCAAAAACAAAGAACCACACACATCGTGTTTTGCTTTGCATAATTGATTATTTTTGCATTTCATTCATTCATTCATCAATTTCATTCAAAATATTGATTTCTTTTTCTTTGCATTCGAATCGATAATTTTGTTTTTCTTGTGCTGACGATAGGGCCAAACTTTTTTTTTGATTCTGCCCATTCTGATTTATTATGATTTCGTCGTTGTTTTTACAGAAAAAAAAGAAAAAGAAAAAGAAATTCCCCGTTGATGACACACACAACAGCCGACGACGACAACAAGGACAAAAGTATCAAGAATTTCGAGTATGACAATTTTTATAATCAAAAAAGAAAATAAAATTGTTCATGGAGTTTATATGAAGATGTTTTCATGACAAAATCAATAGAGAAATCCAACAAACAAAAAAATTGGATAAAGATAATAATAATTTGAAAGAAAAACAAAACAAAACTTATATAATACTTACAAGCACCATCTAATTTTGTTTGATAAGTAGAATTATTATTATTTGGATAATGTTGATGTTGTTGTTGTTGATGATATTGTTGATGCATCATCAATGGTGTTGTACCCAAATGATGTCCAGTATCATGTAATTGATATTGTTGTTGTAAGGCCATTTGTTGTTGTTGAAGTTGTCGTTGTTGAATCAATAAACGTTCACGACGACAAAGACAGAATGTAACCATTATAACCAATGTTAAACATAATATAAATATTGTTGATACAATTGCAATGAACAACATTGGATCCAAACCAATTATTGTATCATTTATTTCATTTTCTAGTTTCATTTGAGAAAAAGAGAAATGGGAAAATGAAAATTATTAATCAATTTATCAAATATCGATCCCCAATGATGATGAAACACTTTATCAATTTTCATCATCATCATTGTCATTTGGAGAACGGAAAAAAAGTCATTCAAATTCAAATTTAGATTCTCTCTTTTGTGTGTAAATCATTTTATCGATAAAAAATAAAAAAATTTGAAAGAAAAAAAACCATTATCATATTTTTTTTCCTGAATAATCCGATTATCTAATAAAAAATAAAAAAGCATAACATTGATATATTATTATTATCATTATAAATATGGTTATTATCATCATAATCATAAAAAAAAATCAAAATCTAGTGAAAAGAAAAAAAAATGACAGAATAATAATGATGATGAAAAACAATAGGGTAGAAAACAAAACAGAGAATCAGAATCACGAGAGAAAAAAACCAAGGGAAAAAAATTCCTAATGATAATGATAATAACCCATATCGCCCCACACAACAATAATAATAAAAATCAGAATAACATTGACATAAGGTCATCATCATCATTTTCGGTTGAAAAAAACAGAAAAACAAAACAAAAAACATTGATTCTATTCAAACTCACTCCCTTAATCAATAAAAATATACATAGTGAGGTGAGTTTTGACAAGAAATTTTTCAAATCTTAATTATGAAAAACAAAGGATTGATGATGATTCTCCTAGTTGTTCTTATGGGGTGCCATGTTAATAGATTTTTTCAACACTGAATTCACTATCATTCTGTGTGAGAAAAAAAAAGAACAAATTGTAAATGTCATTTGATATTGGACAAGCAAAAAAAAGAAAGAATGAAAAAGTAAAAAAAAATTGTTGAAATTTTCAAGAATTTTTCAAGAATGGAATTTTTTTCCATACGAAATTCACCTAGACAACGACAAATAATGATAATAAAAAGACAAAAATCTCGGCTTTCGACATAAATAAAAACAACTAATGGCTTATTATTATTTTTTGTAAAAAAATCGATCAAACACAATCGATTGGTTGGTTAGTTACCTTGACAATGGACATAATAATGTTCATCACTATTATCACCACAATGATTGACACCATCACATACAAGATCGCGTGATATACAATATTGATTAGCGCATCGATGTTCCCGGCAATAGTTTTCTATTAGATGAAAATGAAACGAAAAAAAGAAGAAGAAAAAATGATTAGGTTTTCATTTAATAAAAAATACACATAGTGAAAAATTCCATTGGCATCTAATGTCTGACAATTTATGAAATTGACAATTGAATTTGGAAATTAATTTCTTGCTCTGTCGATTGCGTGTCAACACACACACACAGAATCTCATTCAATCAATGATATGGTGGTGGTTGATAATCAATATTTTGAGAATCAAGATTGAAGATTGAAAAAATAATTTGGGAAAACGCCCGGTGTTTTTCGAGTAAAGAAGAAGACGAAATTCTTGATTAATTTCATTGAAAACAGAAATTAATCAATCTTGTTGTTGTTGGTTATATTGAAGGGAGAAGAAAAATCCAAAAAAAATTTTGATTAATGTTTGTAAAAATATAACCAAGACTAATAATATTTTTTCTTCTTCAAAACTATCAACGATGATTAGTAAATCATATTTTTTATTTTTTTGAAATGATCTTGCTCTTCAACAACATTCTCAATGGATGATGATCATAATAATTTTGCCACCGGATTCATCATATCATATCATATGATATACTGCATATATTCCATAAATATATGGTAAATGTGCGTGCAAAAACTTTTCAACATTCGATTCATTTTTTTCTCCTAATGTGATAAACGAGAAAAAAATCAACCCAAAAAGGAAAGGAATGAATTGGGTTGAGGGGATATATATTGAATTCTAATACTGAATAACTGACTGATGATAGGATGATGATGGTTGCCTAGCTGTTTAGTGTTGTGTTGTTGTTGTTGTTGTTGTTGTATAGAATACTAATCATCATCATCTTATAATGGTTTTTGCTTGCTTGGTTAACTTTACTTTCATTTCTTTTTTGTTTGATAATTTCACATTAATAATGTTAACGAATATAGTACATTCACTCACTCTCAATAAATGATTTTAGGTTGAAAGGTTATGACACAAACACAGAATCAAGATGGAGAGAAACCAGAAAAAAGTTTTTTTTTGGTCGATTTATCACATGGATAACAATAATGTTGTGTGTGTTTGGGGTGGGTGTTCAAATGAGCTTAATTTGCCTAATGGATATAATGAATATATTGGAATCGGAATTGGAAAACAGAAACAAGAAAAAACAAAACAACAACAACAATGACCATCATCATTATCATTGTCAATGAAAAAAACTTCTTAGAAATGGATTCTATTCATTTAAAAAAAAAATGTTAAATTTCTTCAAGAATACTTATCAACATTATTATCAAAATTAATTAACCCCCTTTTTAAATCAAATTACATTATCATTAATATCATTATGAAATAAAAAAATGAATAAAGATAAAAAAAACATTCATTTTTCAATTCACTTAATAATAAATTCAATCTGTCATTTTTATATGTAAAATGTGCTCATTTTCAAAATTTTGAAATGGTTGAGGTGAGAGGAACAATGGTTTCCACTACCAAAACTATGATCATAAACCAGTAGCTAGAGAAAAAACAAATGATCATCATACCCACACTATACGGGAATGAAAGCAAAGAAATAATAAAATTTAATTATTAATCCAAATCTTCCAAATATATTCAAAACATTTTCAATGAAACTTTTCATGTTAAAATTAATGATTTTTTTCTTTTGCATATATCTACAAAATCTATCTATATCTGTGATATCTGATATGACACAGAAAAAATACTGATTATATGTGTGTGTGTGTTGGATTTATTATTGAATGTAGAATTTGTCAATTCAAAACTACGAACAAACGAAAGGGAAGGAAAAATGCAAATTGTATTAATAATTTGCCATATGATGATATAGTGATAATAATAATAATAATGATCATCATCATCGATATAGTGGTGATAATAATAATTTTTCATATTTCCTTTCTCTTTATTCAACACCAAATCACATCATTTGAACAACATCTTGAGACGCCCAAAAGACGATGAATAAGAAAAACAAGGGGGCCAAATAAGAATTATATTTCTCTTCTTAATAAAACAAAAAGACAACTTTCTTCTCTTTCTTGGTTTCTTATCCAAATATTGAATTCCCAACAGAGAATATCAAAGCAAAGCAAAGCAAGAAAAAAACCATAATTTACTGAATGAATCCTATTATTATTATTATTATTATCATTCGGCGAAAATCATTTTCAAATTATTATTATATCTATCTTCACACTCATAGATTCTGAATTTGCAAAAAAAGAAAGAATATAGAATGGCTTGCAACATCAGTTGTAGACATCCAACAACAACAACAACAAAAAGAAAACAACATAGAAAATTGGAAAAGATAATGATTTTGATATAAATATTTGAATCTAGATTCTCTCTCTGTGTATGTGGAAAGACAGGGAGAGAAAAATTCCGGAAAAGTGATGCTGTTTCTTTCGGAAATATTTCTATTATAAATTCTCTTTCACTATGTATTAAACCGAAAGGAGTAAAACAAAAAAAAATTCCAATAGGGAATTCTTCTTCGAGATTAAAAAACCCGAAATTCTTTAGTTTTAATATTAAAAAAAACAAAAAATAAGAATTTGATTGCAATCAGCTTCTCTCATTCTTGCACCAAGATAATAAATCATTTTTTAATAAGTTTTTTTCTACTTATCTACTTTACCAAATACTGAACTATATATATTCAAATGCAATAATATTTGTCACGAATGTAGAATGCAGTGTAAAAAAAACTTTCAAGTCAAAAATCAACAACAACAACAACAAAATATCGCTCGCATCTCTATCTATCTTTCATATCCTTATCTTCGAATATATCTTTCGAATCAAACATTGAATGCAAACAAACAAACAAATCAAACAAATAATCATGATAAAAATAAAAAATAGCCTTAAAGTATGAAAAGATTTTCATATAGGCAAATATAAATATCTAACGACTTTCATCACATCATCATCATCGTCATGATCAACTCAAAAATGCTGTGTTCGACAATTGATTACAGTTTTTTTTTCAAATGGAACAATAAACTTGTCGACCATAATTCTGTTATCACAATTCTACACACAGAATGACTGAAATATAGAAAAACTGGATTTCATTTTTTTTTCTCTCCAATCTATGAATGATTTGAGCAGAAAAAGTTTTTGGACATTTTTTATTACATTTCCAGTGTTACAAAGCTGAATGATGCGAATCTGAATGATTTCAAGTTTGTTTGTTTGTTTTTGTTTGGCAATATATCTGCCATTCATAAATCGAAAATGACAAATCAAAAATGATAAAAATCTAATTGAATCTCATTCATTCAAAATAGTCAACAAAATATGTCATTATAATATGCAACATTGAGACAAAAATACTTACTTGAATCTTTATAGGCAGTAATAATTAAACGAAAACCATTATCAGCTTTTGAATAGGCATCCGTTTGATAACGTAATGTTAGAAAATTACTTTGTGTATAAATTGTACCAACTTCAGTTCTTGTACTACGACAGGATAAATCAGCCTATAGTGAAAAAATGAAATGAAAAAAAATTGAATAAGATTAACATTGCATTGGAATTAATCCGGGAAAACAAAATTGGACAAAAAAAAAGAAGATAAATTTTGAAAAACAAAAACAAAAAAACGTGATCATCATTATCCATATATATCGAGTGATAATCCTAATCATTATTATTATTATTATTATTGGAAAATGATAAGCGATTCTTCCTTCTGCATCAAAAGAAAAATCAATAAACATTTAATGCTATGGATTTCATTTTCATTCGATTTTCAAGAGAAAAGAATCCAAGATTTAAAATCGATTTTTCTCCTGTTTTTCTTCATATCATTCTTATTATTATTATTATTATTGAAATAAAGAAACCGAAGAAAAAAAATTTCCCTGGATCTTAGCCTGGATCAAATTGACAGCCTTGACTATATTGGATAAACTTTCTTTGATTTTTTCTTTTCATCTCATCATCATCCTCATTATCTAACAAGAAAATATTATTATTGTTATTATCGGTCGTCAAAATAAGAAAAAAGTTCAAACCGGAACCGCACCAAAACACACACCTTTTGGACATTCAGGATAAAATTCTTATTCAAGAAATCTTTATTATTATTCTGTCTATGTAAAACCTATCTATATGTGTGCTTTGGTTTATCGTTTTATTCAGGAAAAGTTTTTTGTTACAAAAAAAACTTTATTATTCTTTCTTCTGATAAATTCCTTAAACAAGATTCTCTGTCTCGGATTCCGGAAGGAAAAATATTCACCGAAAAAAATGAATGAATTGAAGGAATCTACTAAGTAAGTTTTCAACAAAATATAATCAACTAGCATAATATACTCCTGGAATTTCTTTCTTTTTTTGTTCGGAATTGAAAAAAAATCTAATTTGAACAAAGCGAAAAAAAAATCATTGAATTCATTCACCGAGAAGAACAAAAAAATGTTTAGAATTTGAAGAATTTTCATCATAAAACCTACCTTATGATTACCAATAGTATGTGCACCATCATAAATATAAAGATGATCATTACAATCTAATGCTAATTTTTCAAAACGTAACATAAATTTTTGTAAAATTGTATCCGTTTGAAATGTTATTGTACAATCCAAATTATTTTCCGCTTTACTAGTTATAACAGCACCATCAATTTTTTTCGATAATGGATGTACACGTTCACGTAAACATAATGCTGATATGTGATCTATATATATTGATATGGTGATCCAGTGGTAGATATTATCGGTGGTATCAACCAGGTAAGTCAGCCGTATCGTCGAAGAAAAATAAAGAAAAAAAAGAAAGGAAAATTATTAGTGAATTCAAATCAGGTGAATCATGGTTTTTGAACAATTTTGTTTTTTGACAAACAACAACGATGACAAAAAAATGATGGATGTTGTTGTTTTGGGAAAAAAAACTTTTCAGAAAAGTTAATCGAAAGGAAAAAAATTTGTTGTTTTCTGGAAATTTTTCCTTGACAAAACAAAAAGTTTTTCTGACTTTAGCGAGTTGGGAACGATGATGATGATTGATAAAGAACAATCATAAAATCGATCAAACGAACAAAATGATTGATTTTTTATCGATTCCATGATGATGACATTGTGAATAATAAAATAAAATGATTATAATCAATCTAATCAAAATGATAATGATAATGTCAAATGTTTTTTATGTGAAAACACGCATAATTGATTGTAACACAGGCCAATAAAAATTTTTGTTACTTTTGTTAAAATAGCCGGAAAAAGATGAAAATGAAAATTTTATTATCAATTTCAAAAAAGGGTTAGTTTTATAAAGCCGATCAGCATTTTTCTGATAGATTTTCATTAAAAAAAATTAAGAAAAAGATTCCCAGCAAGAAAGTTTCCGGAAATAAATGAAATGATTTAAATGATCAGAATGGGCAATATTTTTGTTATTTGGGAAAACTTTTTTTTCAATTTTCAGTCGGATTAATTTTGTTTTCAATTTTGTCCGAGAAACAAAAATTGAAACATCTCCATTTCGATTGCCAAAAAAAAAAAAAAAAATTCACTTGAAATGTAATTACTTTTTTTTCTCTCTGCCAAAAAACAGATCAATTTGAGTTTCACTTAAAAAAAATTTCTTTTTTTTTCAATAAAAGTTTTTCAATGAAAACAGGACTAGGCTAGACTAAAATTGGAAAATTTGCTGATAAATTATTCTATCTAGCCAAACAGCATTGGATTGATTGGCAATTGGAGATAAATTTTCTGTTTATTTTGGATTCGAAAAACCAAACGAATGAAGAAAACATTCGAATAATCATCATCGTGGATGAAAAATACGAAAACCAAATTGAATCAATTGAATCCATGAAGACGAAATTGACAAAAAAAAAGAAAAGAAAATATATTTTCTTTTCGATTCCTAAACTACAACAAAAAGAAAAAAGTTTATGATTTGATTGTGGAACTGGAACTTTACGATCTTTTTTTTTCTCTCTCCCTATCTTTCTCTGTTAAAAAAATTCTTGCAAACACAATTGATTAATTTATATTGTTTGTTTGTTTGGCAAGAAAAAATAAAATAAAAATCGTCGTTTATGATCAGAAGTAAAAAAAACTTCAATATAGCTGCTGTCTATATAGTGGCTGTTCATTTATCCAATCATGATGGATAATATATTTTTCTTCCTCAAACAACAACGAAAAAAACCCAACAATTATGATGATGAGCAATCATCATCATCATCGACAATCATTATCATCATTGACGAAAAAAGAAAAAAAGATGGCCACTTCACAAACTCAAATATAGTGAGAGAAAGAAATTAGGCAAAAATGTTTTGCTTTCGCCTTTTTTGTTTAGTTGAATTGGTAAACACAACACACACTTATCGAAAATTATGTAATAAGTGGTGATGGTGGTGGTGATGGCGAAAAAGAATTGAATGGGAGAAAAAACCTTGTTAAAGCAATTTTAAATGTCGGTTGTTTTTTCAAATTCATTCTATGGTATTGTTGTTGAAGAGTAATTACAATTTTCTCATCATATCAGTCGAAAAATTTGATCTGTTTTTTGTGAAACACTGCTATTAAAGCGGACAGAAAAGTATTTTCAAACAAAAATTTGTTTCGCTTCACATTCTAATTCGGCTGAAATGAGCTTAGGAGAACCTATTTTTTTGGCCATACAGAGAGGATTCTGTCGAAACCAGAATTGTTGAAAATGAAAATGAAATTGTTTGCTTGTTTGTGATGATGATGATGGAAATTGGAATCGAAAAAAAATTGAAAAATTTTCAGAGAGAAAATGGAATAATAATAATGATGATGATGATGATTTTGAGCAATTCTCGGGGTAGAGCATCATCATCATCATAGCAAGAATAACAAGAATCACAAATAACAATAACAAATATGAAATGATCGATGAATTCTTATTATTCTTCTTCGTTTTTCCATTTCAATCATCATCATCATCATTTCAAACATAGTGTAATTCTTTAACCGATTCTATGGTCTTTGTCTCTCTCTCTATTCGAAAATCAACGAACGAATCTAATTTTTTTTTCGATTACATTCAAAATGAAAATTGAGAAAATGAAAAAAAGTGTGAAAATTTTTTTTTTCATTTAAAATTATAACGATGCTGAGGAGAGAAAATAAAAGACATCATCATCATCCTTAATGATGCTGTTTTCGGTTAGTTTATGGAATTCCGGGGCAAAAACACACACACAAACAAACATTCATCATTCACAGAAACAATGATGTTTATGTTGTTTCATTGAAAAACAGTGTTATTTTTTTTTTTGGTTGCATAAAATTTTTTCAACAAAAAAAAACTTACAAAAACGATTACGATCACAATGAACAAATTTAGAATAATCAAATAAAATTGATATTAAAAACAGAATTAAAAGGCATCGTTGAAAAAAATTCTTTAATAAATGTCTATGATGATAATGATAATGATAAGGTAACATTATTGATGATAATGAATAATGTTCAGTAATAGTAGTTCTATCATGATGAGCAACATTATTATTATTATTGATTTTTATTGAAAAATTTGAATCGATTGCTGATCGATATGATGATGATAATGATTGATAGGCACTTGATTGACTTATTCTGTCAATATCATCATCATTTGATGATGATAAATGTGGAAGATTCGTTGTGAATGATGATAATGGTAATGATTCGGATGAAATCAAAGATTGAGGACAACGATTTCGATGTTGATATGATGATTTGGATGATAATTTGTTGGTCGTTGCTGTTGTTGTTGATTCATTATCATCCATATCATCCGAATCAGATGATAATGATTGTGGTTTGAACAACATTTTGTTGTTGTTGTTATTATTCGAATAATGATAACAACAATCAAGAATTTTAGTAACCACAGAATTCATGATGATCTATTTCAGTGATTCTCAACCAGTGTGCCGCGAAATTCTGAAAATGCAACTGTTATATATTTAAAANTTATTATTCGAATAATGATAACAACAATCAAGAATTTTAGTAACCACAGAATTCATGATGATCTATTTCAGTGATTCTCAACCAGTGTGCCGCGAAATTCTGAAAATGCAACTGTTATATATTCAAAAATTCTAAAATTGTGCCGCGACAACAAAAAGGTTGAGAATCACTGATCTATTTACACACATCAAACACACACACACACACACAATAACCACATCACATTATCAACACAAGTTGAAATAGTTGAAACACACACACATTCGAAAATTTTGAAACAAACACCGATTTCCCCTTCGGATGATTCTCGGTTGGTTGATGATGATGATTATAAAACTTGGTCGGGAAAAGAAAAAAAAATTGTGGTCGGAAAAATAACTTTACCGCAAAACAAAAACAGCCGGATTTTTCTTTCCCTCGATTTTAATATCGTGGTCCGTTTTCTATTGTTTTTTTCGACTCTTCACACAAACAAACACGAAAACTCGAGTCGGGACGAAAAAACAATATTAAAATGATGAGGAACGTCATCGAATGATAAATGGCTGCGGTAGAAAATATGCACAACTGACGGTGAAAAACAACGTTGACGATGTTATTGCTGCAGCAGAATTTGTTTGTTGATGGAAACAACGGAAAATGAAAAATGTCAAGGAATTTTTTCCTTCTTCTACACTTTCACGAGAATTTAATCATAAAACAAAAAAAATCCACCAAGATTAAAGAACCCAAGAATCGATATTCGACAAACAACAACAAAATTGCCAATGGAATTTATGAATTAACAACAAAATAAACCGAAGAAAACAGAAGAAACACTACTCGATTCTGGGGGGTCGTACATAGAAGATAGGAAATTGGATTCGAAAATATCATCATTATGATGAACAAAATTGAAAATCAAAAACAAAAATTAGAATTTTGTCGAATAATTTTTCATTATTTTAAATCAATGATGAATGATCGATGATTAATTGAAAGGATGATTATGAAAATTTGAAAGATTTTTTTTTATCATTTGATGATCATCGATGGATGATTTATTTATTTTTTGCTGTCGAAGATTTCTCACTCAATGATATGTGAAAAAAAGTGACACAAATGAAAAAACGAAAAACTAATCGTCGTCGATCCATTGGAATAACACACAGCAGCAGCAGAAAAAAAACACCGAAAAGAATGGCGGATTCTTTCATTCGGGCATTATATTCGGGGAAATTGTGAGCCACATTCACTTCATTTCATCCAAACAAACATTGTGTGTATGTGTGTGAATCAAGAATCAGGACCAAACCAAACCAGAAAAAAAACTGTTAGCAACAACAACAAAAAAGCGGTAGTAGTGGTAAATCAAAATGTTTTTTTACAAAAAAAAATCATTATTATCGTAGACCGAATAAAAAATTCAGTCTGTTGTTTGTTTCAGGTTCCAGGATCGGTCGTTGGCTCGACAACGAGAGAAAAAAAACAACCCAAAACCAAAATGAATTTTTTTTAAGAGTAGCAGTGGTTGTATTTGAATGAATGATTGATTCTTTCGATAAAATGATCCAACAACAACAAAAACCAGAATCCATTTTTTTCTCAATTCCAAAAGTAGAAGCATTGTTTCAATAAGCGTTCCAAAACAACCAAAATTCTATTGTCGGCTATATCAACTGGCTAGTGGTACTTATGGTGGCAATAGTAGTGGTTAGTTATTGTCATTATCTTTCAGTTTACATGAAACACTGGGAAAGTTACAACAACAAAAAAAAACGGAACCGATAAAAAAAATTATTCGCCGAACAACAACAACAAAAAACATACTGAGATTGTGAGATAGACCGAACACAAACACAGACCAAAAGCAAAAAGTCAAACGCTAAACTTATTCAAAAAAATTTTTTTTGTAAAAATAGTCAGCCAGCCAGCGAAAAAAAAAATCCTGAACATTTTTTTTTCTGGTTGTTGATGAAATTCCGGCAATGATGATGATGATGATCGGATTGGATTGAGTCTAAATGACTATAGTACTGGAGGAATATTCTTTTCATTTCGTTCATCATCATTGGAATTTAGTTTTCCAACAACAAAAAAAAAACTTTTCATTTTTTGTTGTTGTAAACTTTTTCGTTTGTTTTGTTTCATTTGATTTTTTTTCATTCATTAATCTGAATGATGTTTGCACAGAAAAAAAACGTATCAAATGAATTGAATGAATGAAAGTGAATTCTGGAAATTCCGTTTCCGGATTTTTTTCTTCTGTTTGTTTCGAACGGGAATCAAGCGAATCACACATACAAACAAAAGCACCAATTCTCGGTTCAGTGACACCAAAGTCGAAAAGAGAAACAACGCGCACATGCGCAAAACAAACAATAATATTTGTTCTGGATCGATCCAAAACCCACTGATACTGCTATTGGTTAATGCTACTACTACTCTGGTTTCCGCTACCATCAATTCTATATAGCAATGATTTTCAATGAATTCTGTACCCCTATACATTAGTCTCAATATTGAAGAGGGGCGGTGTCTCAATTTGGAATTTACATCCATAGAAAGAGAGAGAGAGAGAGAGAGAGAGAGAGAGAATGTGTCAGAATTTTAGGCATCCAACGAATCATCATCACCCTATTTAGAATCAGAATTTTGTTTTTTTCGCTTAGCATCATCATTCGATATTTGCAAAAAACCCGGTATACTGATAGAAAACTTGATAGAAAAGAAAGATAATTTATTTCATTATTGAATGAAGGTGAATGGAAAATTGATTGATTGATTGGGTTATAATATCAACAAAAAAAAAAAAAAATCACTTCATAAATGATGAATACAATCAACGGCTGATTTTTCTTCACATTCAATCAATGCAATACAACCGGTAATATTTTGTTGTTGTAAACATTTCAATGTTGGTTCAACACAATTTTCGCACCAACTTTTACCCATACATGATAAAAAATGTAATGCTTTTTTACCATATTTATCAATAAATTTTTTGAAACTTTTCAGTATATTTGAGGAATTTTCTACCGACCATGTTGTTTGACAAGATTCAACCATAACAGCCATAACGATGATGACCAAAAATGCCAAGATTACTTTCGTACCTTTGATTTGGAAACAAAAAACTTGATAAGATTTGTTAAATTTGAAAAAAAAGAAAATTTACCTTTCATTTTGAATTTTTAAAAATATCGAGAAAAAGTATTAATCAAAATTTTAAACAAGAAAAAGTAACAATTATTTAGATAATGGGATTTAGTCTGTTTATATACCTGATTGAATCTACTACGTTGTTTGTTTTTTTTTTAGAAGAGCGTTATGTGTTATCATCATCATCATAACAAGTGGGTAGCAATCAATCGAAAACAAATTTTTGTTAATTTCTCAATATGATGATTGCATTTTTGAGTAAGGTGACAAAAAAAAAATTAAATCGTCATCTGGATATTAAGGTTAGGTTTATCCGTGATGATTAAAGTCATAGTCAACTTAACCTATTATCAACATAATCATTATTATTTATTGGATTTTACATTCACACACACTTTTAATGTTTTCAGCACAAAATCAAACAACAACATTCAAATAAAACGAGGTAACTGATGCGAGAATAATGTTTGTGTTTGTAAAAATGTCTTCTCTGTGTTGGTGATGTAAACCATGTGAAGGCAGAGTGAAAGAAAGTTTTTCGGAATATAAAGAACCAAACAAAAACCAAAAAACATTATTTTTTCGGTGTTTTGGACCCAATGTTTATGTTCATTTTTTTTTGTTTTGTTTTGTTTGTGTTTTCCGTCGTTGATGTTGTTTGCGACCAATATTTGTTTGTTTGTTTGTCGTTTGTTGCCAAATAAATTATCAAATCTTTTTGCAGGCCGAAATTCTCAATGATTTTTGGTGACGATGTTTATGTTTTCTCTCTCTTTCTATCTGCGATATTCAAATATAGAGTGAAAGAGAGGGAATTAATTGGAATTAATGTCCTGTGTAAGTATGTTTGTTCGGTAAAATATTGTCAAAATGAGGGGGTTCAGACAGAAAAAAACGACAACAATAATATTCATGATGTTTGATGATGATAATGATAATTTCCGTTTCCTTTCGGTGAATTCTTCTTTCCCTCCATTTTTTTCTACATTCAAATGTTTTGAATGTTAACAAATGAAATGAATGAATAAATTTGTAAACTTTTTTCTTGCAGGAAACCCAGACCGGATATAGAGGTGATGTTTGATGAAACAGAACCCTGGAGAAAGGATTGCAAAACATATTCCCATTTCCATATTTTTCCTTTTTCAATCTCAAAAGTTCAAATGAAAAATGTTTTGTTTATGTTATTACATCACATCAAATGATCATGATGATCAAATTTGAATTTGCAATTCAAATTTCACCATTAATTATGATGATTGTAGAAAAAAAAACATTTTTAATCAAATTAACAACCAGCAGCCAAAAGATGAATAAATTCTGTTTTCAAAAATTCAAAAAAACAAGCAAACCGAGCGCCATCTACCGTTCGCGTAAAAAATTTGACAAATTTTTTTTAATTAAATAAAATTTATTAATTTGAAATTTAAAAATTTAAAAAATAATGTCTATCACACACACAATTAAAATAAAGTTAATTTTCATTTTTGTTTCATTATCATTATTGTTCAGGTATACAATAGAAAAGTTTTTGAGTAAATATAGTTATTCCATCTGTGGAAATGGGAAAAATTGAAAAACAAAAAATTAATTAAAACAAATTAAAAATGATGTCAAAATGACTTACCTATAAAACAACTATACGATTTTGGTTTAGATTTCCAATAAATAGTAATCAAATAAATAGGTATTCCAGTAATGGTGATAATAATACCAGCACCAGCTTCCATAGGACTAACATAAAATGGTAATAATACCAAAAATAAACATATTATAAAAAACAGGATAGGTATAGCCAGATGTACACGAATTGGACGATAACGTTCAGGTTCACGATAACGTAAATAAAGTAATGAACCAATCGATGCTAATATTGATGATGATTCAATAAATGTTGCATAATTTATCAGTACATATACTTTAGTTGTAGTAAGGTATAACAGTGATAACAGGCCAAGAAATATTAAACTTGGCATTGGTGTAAAATATTTTACATTTATCATTGCTAAACTTTCTGGTAGATGGCCACGACGTGCACCAACAAAAAATAATCTTGATGATGCAAATATACCACCATTCAGACCGCCAAATGTTGATAATGCAACCGATAATGGCATTATCCATGCAAATGAACCAAGAACTCTATCACCAAATGTAACAGCAACAGCATTTGATGTTAGAATTTCTTCCGGTGTTAATACAGTAAAATATGCCAAATTTGCCATAAGATAGATTAATGTAACTAATGGTAATGATATATAAATAGCACGTGGCAGATTACGAAATGGATCACGTAATTCTTCAACAACAAAATTTAAATAATTCCATCCAGCATATGAAAACAGACCGGAATAAAATGCCAATGCAATATGACCAGGTGAATCGTTTGTATTTTCAAACGAATTTGGATACGATAATGTACGTTCAATTTGATCGGAATTTGTAGGGTCAAAAAATTTCCAACAACCACAACCAATTATCAATAATAAAGCGATAATTTTTGTAAATGTAAATGAATTTTGTACACGCGTTGCCCATTTTACATTGAAACAATTGATAAATATTAATAAAACTAAAACAGAAAAAGATGATTAGCAAAAATTCATTGATTTTACCAAAACATTGACCTAAAAAGTGAAAAAACAAACGAATTTCTTTTCCTGATTAGCTAAGCATATTTTTGTTCACTTCTTATCATAAGATATTGGATGCATCAAATTTCAAAATCTCTTCACATAGTTAAGATGATGTGATATTGAAATTTGATGAATTGACAATTTTTTGTTTCATTGACTATATGATAAATCATGATACGAAATTTTTGAAACTTACTGATAATAATTGCAGCAATCAAACGTATAGCATTTTCTGGTGGACTACAAGTTGGATATAATGATTGTAGAATATAATTGGCAAATGTCATTGCTGCAATTGCATTTCCAGCTGGCTGTATAATCAATATGGAAACCCATAAAAATCTATGGCCGGATCAAAGAAAAAATTGAAAAAATCAGAGAAATTCATTCATTTCAAAAAAAATTAAGAAAAATCTTACAGAAAAGCCGGTAGAGGTCCAAATGCTTTTTGTATGTAAATATAATCACCACCAGATTCTGGTATAGATGTTCCCAGTTCAGCATAACATAATGCACCGATTGTTGATAAACAACCACATAATACCCAAACAACTAACGAAAGACCAACCGAACCAACTTCTTGTAATACACCACGTGGTGATACAAATATTCCACTACCGACAATAATACCGACAATAATCGCAACACCATTCAGTAGGCCAAGTTCTTTTTTCAATGCAATTTTGCCATTTTTCGATGTTGATGATGTTGAATCAAATGGTGATGGTGATGGTGATCCATTTGATTTCCAATTGATTGATTTTTCTATCGAATCTAAACTATCATCATTAATAACGGAACGTTTTCTTGTTAATGAATCGGATTGATTAAAAACATCCATTGTTCCATATGATGGTGTATGATGATGATCATCACTTTCAGATAATAATATTGTCATAATGATGATGATGACAAGATGTTTTTATATGAAACAAAAAAAAAAATACCAAAAAGAAAAATGATATTTAAGAAAATTAAAAGAAATTGAACGAAAGTGAAAGTAAGGATATTTTCATCGATTGCCAGTCATCAAATAATATCTGTTTTCAATCTTTTTTTGTCAAATTTCGATTATTTTATTTTAGTGTCACCACCAATATTTTCAATTTAGCTGTCTTATTATGATAATTATTTTTTTCCAGGGTCGTGTGAAAATGGGACGGATTTTTTTTTGTTTCGAAAACATACCATCATCATTAGATTAATATGAAGAAAACAACGACAAAAAAATCGATGAAATTGAATGTACGTTTGATCAGGAGAAAATATTATTTGTCGAAAATGGCAACATAGATTGACGGGAAAAACAAGGAAAAAATTATTATTTATTCAGATATAAATTATGATTCGACATACAATGTTGGAACACCAAAACAAATATAAGCAATATTGGAACAATATATTTCGATTTGGTGGGTGAAAAAATCGAAAAATGAGAATCGAAATGATGTGTAACGATGATGATGATAAACAGAATGCCTGGATGATTTTTGGGTTGTTGAATTATTTCATTTTCAGGATCGATGGTTGTCACATTTTTCTCATTTATTAACATAGAAATAAATATTATTGATAAGATTATTTCCACACACGGAGAGAGAGAGAGATATCACGAAAAAGATAGTAAAAGTGAATAAAAAAGAGGCCGGACACGCAAATATCCGATTGTGTGAATGTTTGTTTGTTGACAAAATGATAACAACAAAATAGAAAATGGAAAGAAATTTCGAAATTTGGATGATTACTTTATTGTTTTGTTTTGTTGCAGATGCGAAAAAAAGGTTGAATTTGTTGATTGTCTTGAGTGTGTTTGGTTTTTTCATTAGTTGGTTAGTGCACTTCAATAATAATCATCATGGTCATATAACAAATATCGGTTGATATGTATGTCTGTCAAACCATATATCGATCAATATCGATGATATAATCATTAATTTTGGGTTTTATCAGCAAAAATCGTACATTCAATTTGATTTCTTCTTCGATTAGATTTGATGGTCGAGAAAGAAAAATTTTTGACAAAAAATTTCTTCTTTTTGTTTTGGTTCAGATTCAAGGACTTTTACTTTTCTTTTTAAAAAAAATTTCTTGACACGATATGATTAAATTTCGGTAGCTATCTTTATCCAAATGTATAGTCATATCATTATCATCATCATCATCAGACATAGTGGCTGTAATTTGATATGATAATAATTTCATCAATGGTCATGATCATGACGATGATGATTGAAATTGAAAAAAAATTATTCAAAGTTTATTGTTTTTCGGTTATTGATATTTATGAGAACGAAAAAAAAAAATTGTCACAACAGTACCATCTGGTGTTGAAAATTTGGAAATTTTATCCTATTTTTTTTTGTTTCGAAATTTTATCATATTCAAAAACAAAAAAAAACATCAAAACGAAAAAAATATTATCCTATGTGAAATAATGATTCAAAGGTTTTTTCGAGCAAAAAAAAAAAAATTTTTTATAACCAGATTATTGACTGCACTACACTATTGATTACTGATTGTAGTTCTGGCGGATGTTTTACTTAATCAAGTAATCAATCAGTTTATTGCGAAAAATTACAACAACAACAAAAAAAAATCACACGACAATAATAATGATGACATTTAAAAAAAACCGTCATCGTGAGAAATTTCTAAGGAATTTCGTTTTGTTCAAAATCATTTGACAGAAAATCCGGATGTTTCGTTTAATAACGTTGACGTTTTAAAAAATAAATTGGAAAAATTCTTCGTTACCCTAAAACGGCAAAAAAAATCAATCGATGAGTTAATATGTCGTCATTGATTGGAAATATATAAATAAATAGAGATGAAACCAAAAAATCATCATCAGCAAATATTAGAAATTTTTTAAATTTTTTTTTTTGGTAAACCTTTCATTTTCTATTTTTTGCGATTATCATTATGATAATGTTTATTGATTGAATTTTTTAAATAATTTTTCTTCAAATATAAATGAGATTTATTGAAAAATGTTTACCAAAAACCTGGCCAGTTTTACTAAACAATTTAAAGCACGTGATTCTTTAGTGACGTATGAAGAATTTGAAAAAAAACGCAAAAACTTGATTAATAAATTTTCTTTTACAGAATTCTAGTCAACAATAATGAACATATTGGTACGTTACATAATTTTTTCTGGTTATTATCATTAATCTATACGGTGTCTACGATTGGTGATTATTTTTTAAATAAAAATCATAAATATGATGAATTGATTGAATTTGCCGGAAAAATTATTGAAAAAAATCTTAACGATTTAAGCAATGGTTTACTAATATGGTCTATAATGTTTATATTTGTTCTTTTTGTACATTATTCATTAGTTTTATTGAATAATTTTTTACAATTTCGATTATTAATTACAATAATTGATGATAATGTTGATCAATCGACGACAAATATTGAAAATGGAGTTGAATCAAACAATATTGTTATATTCAAACAATTTCAATCCAAACAACAACAATCACGGTTTTATCAACAGATTTTATTGGATATAATCTATGCGATTTTCATTGTAGCCGGTTTGTTAATGTTTTCAACAATAGCTATATTGATTTATGATTTTCATTTTATATTTTCAATAATTATTATGGCTGAAATGGTATTTATTTATTTTTTTAAATTTAAATTTTGACATTGATTTTTTTTCTTTAAATTCTTAGTTTCGTTTGATAATGAAATCACATTCATTTTATATTGAAAATCGTAATCTACAAATAACCGATGAACAATTACAATTATTGATACGAAATCGAAAACAATCGTCTACAAATCAATCAAAAAATATGTGGACAATTTTTCAAATCTGGCAACATCAATCATCACCACAGCCACAATTCACGGCATGGCTATATTTTCTATTTGCACCGACATTAATTTATCGACATTCATATCCACGAACCAAATCGATTCGTTGGAAATTCGTTGTCAATTATTCATTGCAATTGTTATTCACTTTAATTTTTTGGTGCTACTTAAATATGGCAATCATAATCAAACATAATTTACATCAATTAAATTTACATAAATATTATTGGCATGATATGTTTGGTCATCTATTTAATATATGGATAATGGGTATATTCAATTATTATTGTCTATTTTATACAATATTTCATTTATGGCATAATATTACTGGTGAACTATTACGATTTGCTGATCGTCATTATTATGATTCATTTTGGAATGTTAATTCACTGAAACAATATTATCGACAATGGAATATTATTGTTCAGGAATGGATTTATTATTATGTATATCTATCTATTCATCAATGGATCAAAAATCATTTCTTAACAACAATTTTCGTAACAATTTTATCGGCATTTGTACATGAATTTATTATTGCCTTAAGTTTAGGATTTTGTTTTCCATTACTTTTTTTGTTGTTTGGTTTTGGTGGTTGTAAGTTTTTCTTTTTGAAATCTTTGATTTTTAAAATATTTTATTTTCTCTCCCAACCAGTCATTTGCGATATGATAAATCATCATAATATTGGCAATAAAAGATGGCAAAATATGTTTTTTATATTTCAATTTCATTTGGGATTTGGTTTGATGACAACATTATATTTGTTAGAAGGTTTATCAAGAATAAATTGTCCAATAATGACGACAGAAGAAAATTTACAACAATATTTTATACCAAGAATGTTAACTTGTATTACAATCAAGTGAATAAATCATGACAATAAATAAACATTTTGAAAATGATCCAAAATGTAGATTAAAAATCCAACATAAATGATGGTTGCCTTTTGAAAAAAAAACATTACTTTTTGATTTGAAAAAACAAACGAAAGATAAGCTTACCCTAAGAATAGTTTTATATGTTAATGCACCGACCAATGTTAAATTTGGACCATATTTTGGTCCGATCAATAAACGTTTAAACCAATCTTCGAATTTAAATTTAATTAAAAGATTTCGTTTCACATCCATTGATTGAATAATAGGTACCAAATATTTGGAAAGCATATGTAATGTTTCAGTTTGCATTGCCGTTCCGAACAAAAATATTGTTATACTTAAACTATGACAAATAAACATAAGAAATATTGCCAATTTTTGTTCATATAATAAATCAGGTCGATTTAAAGTGAGAAAACAAATACCATTCAATGGAATACTTATAATAAGATAAACAAATGAAACCTGACCCCATACTTCGTAATAAGCCAAACGATAGAGTATAATGATTTGATGAAATTCATGAAAAATTTTTCGCAAATCATTTAATCGATAATAAATTCGTGATCTTGATCGATTCGAATAGCAAAAATTTCGATTAATTAGTCGACATTCTTGAGCGGCTTGTAGCAAACATTGTTTCATACGATCAGCTTCAAACCAATGAATTACGAAAAACATTAGTATACAATAAACAGCAAATGTAAATGATTTTATTATAATCAACAATGAATAAATTATTATCAACGAATCCAACAAGAACCATGGTGTACGATTCCAATGATTAAATTGAAATGAAACATTTGCTGAATGATAATATTGAATAGGAAAACCAATCAATATAATAGCTATTGGATGGATGAATTTGGATAAATTTTGATAAATTAAAAAAACCGAATTCAATGGAAAATATTTACCGGATAAAGTTATAATTAAACAATAAATATATTCAAACGATGTCTGTATGATCAATAATGTTGCACGACATTGCCATGAAACAGTTGCTTGAATTGTTTGAAATTGTTGTGATTCTAATTTCTGTTTATCAACATGATTGAAAAATAATTGAAATCTAATACGATTCAATAGATAATTATAACGATTCATAATTGGACCAAATATATTGATCGACATTAATGATGATGATGATTGAGATGATTTAGATCGAGATAATTGTTTTGATTGATGATCATTATTTTGTTTTTTTAAAAAATCTTGAAATTTTTTCATTTGTTCAGTAGGAGATAATCTACATTCACAATAATGTTGCCATGTTTTAACAGAAATTTCATAGATAATCATAAATGAAACATTATCGATTGTTTTAAAATGAAATGAATATTGTACTTGTATTCCTAACACAAATACAAGCAATAACAATATCATATAATTTGTATAAAGTTTTGAATGTAAATTATAAATAAAATAATTTATTGGATCGTTTAACCATAAATCCAACAGAAATGTTATATGATATGATAATAAACCCAAACATATACGCAACATCAAAATAATTAATATTATCATATACAAACGATGACGATAACGATAGAATCGATTATCATGATCTTCAATAATCGTTCGCATTTGATTTAAACAAGGTTTATAATTTGATAAATTCATCATTATTTTTTATTATTGAATTTTATATTGTCCCAAAATGTGTTCATTCGCATTCGTTTGGAAAAAGCAATTTGAACAGCAAACTTTTTTTTTATGGTTTTTTTCATGGTTAAAAATGGATTATGGAATTCAAAAAGAAAAAAACATTTTTGAGAAAATCTTGACAATAAAAATTGTTACAAGGAATCCAAGTCATGCGAGAATTTTCAAATGGATTTTTTATAGATTTTTTTCACCGAAAATAACAAACTCTCATTCTTCCAAATCTAATCTTATTATCATCTAAATTAATGATTGAATGAAAAAAACATGCGAAGGAATCTCATTTTCTTGACAAATCGATCGCACGACATAATATTTTCGTAATTTTTGTTGATCATTTTAAATTTATTTTCCTCAGAATTGATATTGCTTTTCGTTTGTTGTTTTGCGTAAAAAGGAAATGTTTTGAAGAACATAATGATTAAAATGAAATAATAAGGTATGACGGAAATAATCCCCCTACTACCAAAAAAAAAATCAATGTAACCATTCGATAAAAATATGCGTGTCTATCCAAAAAAAGTATTTAATTTTTGTTATTGTTGTTGTTTTCAAGTTTTTCCATTCATTTATTATGCAAATCAAATTGAAAATGGAAGCGTTTATAAAACGAGAAACCGAAAATAATGATTTTTTTTGATGGAGAAAAATATTTAAGATGAATTGGAGTGCAAATATGTTTGTTTGCCAAAACAAAAAACAATTTCCAATTCGATTCAAAAATTGATGAGGATACAATTTTATTTTTTTGCTTAATAATTTACATAATCATTATTATCAAATTATTGTGTGTGTGTGTGTGTAAAAATGAAAGATCGATGAAGCATTGATCATTTTAAAAATATATTTTATATTGATAAAATGGTTTTTGCTTCTTTCATTATAATTATGTTATGTAATTGAGTGTGTGATTTTCTCATCAAATCACTATAATTTGGTTAATTACTATAATTTTTTGGACAAGAAAATTAACATGTTACAATTGTCTATCAATTATAAAATCATTTGTGTGTGTGTGTGATCATATTATGCAATTTCATGTTTATAATTGTATAAAAAACAATGTGACAAAATGCATGTTGTTTCTTCAGGTGAAAAAAGAAAATCAATTAATAAACAAACCCTTTCTGTTCAAGAAAATCAGAAAAGAAATTATCAAATGTATGATTCGTGTGTGTGTGTGATGAAAATGAATACTGAGTTTGTTTTGAAATAAAATTTTTTGAAAAAATATAAACATAACTTGAAAGAAAAAGGATAAATAATGAATGTGTGTTTGGGTGAAAAAAAAACTGTAAATCTTTGTATATTTTTTTTAATTATTTGGTTTTTTTAAAGATTATCATCATATTTTTTTCGAAACGAACACAATAAACAACTAAATGACACCGATGAAGAATTTTTTGTTTTAAGTAAATAACCAACGAATGAAAAGAAAAAAACGATTAACGATTCCATTAAAATTGACCTGTTATGAAACGAAAGAAAAAAATAAGAAAAGAGATTAGTACAAACTATTCAAGGAAAAATTATTTAAAAACAAACCTTTTTTTCGAATCATTCAATTAACCGGTACTTGAATTGAATTTTTCTTTTTGTTCGATTCACCATCATCATCATTTTGATGAGTGTTTGGTTCATTGTTATCACTATCATCATCATTATTTTTGCTTGTTTCTGAACAATCATTATCAGATTTAACATCTTTGGTTGTTGGTTGATGACCACCATTATGTTTGACATTATGGTTGTTGTTATTATTATTGTTGTTGACTAAAATCATAATTTGAATATCATTATCATCATTGTCATTATTATGATGACCATTTGTAGAGGTAGTTGTTGTTGTATCACCATTTTCATGATGACCATTAATTTTTGAATCATTACCGTTGTTCAATTTTGTATCATTTTTAACATGTTTTTCTTGTTTTTTGGCTTTTAAAAATTCACGAAAATTTGATCTGGCTGGCACTTTTTTCGTCATCATCACTGGTTTTTTGTCACCATCAATTGTATCTTTGCCGTTTTGTTGATGATTATTATCAAGATGTCTATTACCATTCATTTTATTTGAAAAACCATTTGTTGCTGAACCATTAATAACTGTTGTTTGTAATGGTTGTGTTAGTTTCCATTCATTTGATTGTAATTGCTCAAGCTCTGAATATTTTGATTTAAGATCATCAATCTGATAACTAATCATATCCCAAAATCCAGCTAAATCTTCCAATTTTATTTCTTTTTCACCACGTCGTTGCTCACAATCATCAACCAAACCGGAAAATTGTTTAAAACGCTCATTAATAAATAAACGAGATTGACCAATCACCAGACGTATTTGTCCAACAACTGAATATTGAATAAATTAAGAAAAAAATGACAATTAGAAAAATTAAGAAAAAAAGTGAAAACTATATCAATGAAATCAATAAAGTGATTTATCATCATTAAATCTTTGTTTTTTTGTTTCTTCAACTGACTCCAACAAGTCACGTATCCTTACTTAATCACTCTCGAACCAAACACGAAAAAAGGATTTACGAAAAAGACCACAAATTCACACTCACTCGAAGAAAAAAATCTCTTTTTAAATCCCCAAAAAAGATTCTTGGATAAAAGTATTAAAAAGTTAAGCTTGTTGGATTAAACCAAACAAAAGGATTATTTTAAAAAATCCTTTCGAAAATTTAAAATAACTCTCTCTTTGTCCAAATAAATCCAATAAGATCAAGTAGGATTTATTCGTCAAGACAGAGAGATCCACGAATCTATACCAGTATCATTATTTTCATTGATTTGTCTTTATCGAGATCAATATTCCCCCTTCAATTTCAAAGAAACAAAAAATCGCCTTTATTGATAATGATATTCGTGACATAAAATATTAGTTTCAGAGTTAAATATATTCACACAAATAACCAAAAAGCCTGGAAGGAGAAATTAATAATTGGCGTCTAAATAAAAATACATATATGCCTAAGTGAGAACCCTCTATTATCATTTATTTCTTGAGCAAATTGTCTTTAATAAAATAAAGATCTGTCAAATATGAGATAGAGGAGCAAATTATTTAAATGCACATTATTATTATATGATAATCAATTGCATAAACAACAAAAATGTTTCTATTTTTGTCGTTCGGTATGACAAAAAAAACAACAAATTATTTTTTTGCTTAATATAATCAAATGATAATTAGGACCATATGATGATAAGGATAATGGGTAACGACCTGGATTCTTTGCTTTACTTGATAATAATAATCATAATAATAATTCTGGTATATGAGGGGGAAGAAAAACACAACAGCAAAAGTTATTATTGTGGTAACCAAGGACAACACCACAAAAAATGGATCAATTTGTTGTTCCATTTGGATAATTGATTTTTCATTTCACTTTTTTTGGCAATCAACGAAAAAAACTAAATCCGATCGGATCCATTTTTATGATTGCGTGTAATGAATGTTCATATTAAATGATGAAAAAAAAGGACAGAAAAGGAAATTGCAAATTTTAATCAAAACAAAACAAAAAATAAAGTTTGAAAACCAGTTTGATTACACAAAAAACATTGACTAATTCAATTTACAAAAACTATCAAAGATCAAAGATGTTATGCAATCCAAAAAATTGATTATTTTGGATTGCATCCAATTCAATCCCAAAATAATCAATTATTTCTCTGAAAAAAAACAAACAAACAAAGGTGACAATAATAAATGCTAGTCTCTCAAACATTATGTAACGATTATCAAATTGACAATCAAAATTAAAGGGGCTGGTGTTGTTGTGTTTTGAAGGAGAAAAAAAAATTATCGACAGCAATCATTTTTTTGAAGATACATTTTGGTCATCAGATAATTGCAGGTTATATTATACAATAACAACAACAACATTCCATACAAAGGGCCATTGATCCCAAAAAAATCATCTCTCTCTATATCGACACAGTGTGTGTAGTTATGAAATTCATATTTATAAAATTCCTGAATGAAAATCACCCAGGGAACGTGAATTTTTGTTTCCGTAACAAACAGAAAACAAAACATTATTATTCATAAAGAACCAAAGTCATTTTCATTAGTGGTGGTGAACCATTTAATTATTTCCATTCCAAGACATTTGAAAAAAATTGTCTGAGTAGAACATTCACCTAGTGAAAACAAAAACAGCCGGTGTGATAAACTTTGATGATTATGATGTAAAAAAGACATAATCATTAATGGTTTATAATTTAATATAATTAATTCTAGCCTATTTCATTAGTAGTAAAAAAACAATTTCATTCATCATCATCATAGTGTTTTTAATTGCAGCCAGTATAATTCATATAACATCAATTTTATAAAAAAAACCTACATATAAAAGTAAATCAAGGAAATGGACAAACAAGGTCCATATTTAATCATCATTATGATGGTCATGTCATGATAATTTTTTGTTGAATGAATGAAAAAACGATGACCAAATTTGGATGTAGTGTCTGACTAAATGAATGGAAAAAAGAAACCTAAAATCATTTTTCTTTTTGTTAGTTTTTTATTGACTTTCATTTTTTTTACCTTTTCTCACATTCAATCGAAATGATTATTATGATGATGATTATGAACAACACATAACCGATGGATCATCATCATCAATGAACATTATGATAATAAACATTACATGGAGACAGACACCACTCCTTTCTAAATGATTATCATTATTTATTCATTCATTTTATATAATAATGACATTCGAGGAAATGAGATCAGACATTCTCATAAACAAAACAAAAAAATTAGATCATCTTTTTTGCTGAATGAATAAAACGAATCTAGGTTATTTTTGTGGTGATGATAATCCACACATTCATGATTCACACTAACACAAAAAAATAACAAGAAAAAAATTTAATTGTAATCCACCGTTATTACTATTACCGCATCGACAAGAAAAAGAAAACATTGATCAAATAAAAAAAAAGGAAATGATGCTTGTTGTCAGAAACATCGATATTTACAATTTACCTGAAATACAATCGGCTATTTGATCGATCGATTGATTGATTATGACCATATCAATATAAAAATAACATTCTTTTGCCAATCATATAAAACACATCACTTGTTTCATTTCACAATCAATTCATGATGATGATCAAAATCTATTATTATCTATCGACCAAACACACAAACATTCTATTCTAATCAAACTAACAATCCATCCTGACCAAATCATATCACCATATCAAATCTAAATTCACGCAAAACACTATCATTTGAAATTTAGAAAAAAAAATTTCCTTAAAACAAAACAAAAAAAACATACCCGATTCTGGTAGCTGATCCAATTCATCATCCAATATTTTTAAATATTTTTCAATTTTTGAATTTAAAAATTCAGTTTGATCATGTAGAATTTGTCTGTAGTAAGTAACGTCAGTCATTTTTAAAAAATAAAATAAAATTCACTATGAAAATGAACAAAAAACAAATGAAATGAAATGATTCAAATAGCTCGATTTTTAAGAACAGCGAAAAAAATAAGCTCGATTGTTGTCGTTTGAATGAAATGAAATCGGTGGGTAATTTTTTCAAATCGAATTTTCTTCGAAATCGACCAGATGTAAAACACACATTTGATTGATTGATTAAGTTTGTTAGCCCAGTGATTTTTTAAAACAACAGAAAATAAATCTGGCAAAATTCAAAATGTTGAATGAATGTTTTTAAAAATTATGGATGATGACTGTTTATGTTTATTTGGAGCTGTTGCTCATCATCATCATCATCTTCGTTGTATATATTTTGGCGGCGCCGTTTTTCTTCAACAACAACAATCGGGTCGATGTGTTTACGTTGTGTTCTTGTTTTTTTTAATATGAACACACATACAGCAAATACAAACATACAAAAACCCGGCAACGGCTTGGAGATTTATGTTTTGAACTTGATTTTTTCAATATCGGTTACTAATGGTAACGACTTGATCGAAGGCAAATTGAATTTCACAAAATAATCAACAATGAAAACTGAAATAATGTAAAAAATAAAAATTGTTTTTCATCATCATCATCGATCCAATTTTGGAAAAAACAAAAAATGATTTCTTTTCGTTTCTCATCAAGAAATGAATCGAATGTTTTGGGAGAAAAAATAAAGCCAACGAATCACACAAGTTGCTTAGTCGTCGTCTTCTCTATTCGATTTTTGATAGCAGCATTTATAGATGTTAACTTTTTTTTGACCTCGCACTTTGAACAGTTTGAAAAAAATAAGAACGGTCAACCAATCAAAATTGAAAACAGTTTTGTCGGACGAATGCTAGTAGTCTGAAAAATACTGATTGTCATAGTGGCATGAAATTTCGAACGAAAAAGCCGGTTTTGATTTTCTTGTTATTCTTTTCAATACATTTTCATACCACTACTTTTTCTGGATTACATTCTTTATGAAAGGAATTGAAATCATGTTCGAAAAAAACAAACAAAACTCGATGAAATTTTAGTTTTTTTTTTTGTAAAAAAATTCTTGAAATAATCTGAGAATAAATGATGGAAACACCAAAACTTCCTTTGGAAAAATTTGGTCATTATTTTCAAAATGTTTATGAACCAGCCGAAGATACATTTCTTCTAATCGATGCATTAGAACAGGACATTGAAACAATCATTAGATTAAAGTAAGAATAGTTGTTGTTTTTCAAATAAATTATCCAAACAATTCATTTTCACCAAATTTAGACCATTAATTTGTTTGGAAATTGGAACTGGTTCTGGTTCGGTAATCACATCGTTGGCTAAAAAACTTGGACCAAATCAATGTTTTTATCTGTAAGTTTTGATGGAATTTTATCAAAAATTACCAAAAATTCGTATAATTTTCACTCAGAGCTACTGATTTGAATGGTGAAGCTTTGGAATGTTCAAGAAAATGTTTTGAATACAATACTCTTATCGATAATCTACATCCAATTCGTTGTAATCTTTCGCAAGCTTTTCGTTCTGATCTTTTATCCGATCTGATTGTTTTCAATCCACCTTATGTTCCAACCGATTCGAATGAATCGTTAGAATCATCGGATATTATTGCCGCTGCATGGGCAGGTGGCAAAGATGGTCGACAAATAATCGATCGTTTTATCGATGAAACTCTGGTGAATCATCTGAATCGACCGAATGGCCTGGCATATTTAGTCGCATTGGAACAAAATCGAATCGATGATATTATCCATCGTGCAAAACAGAACAATTTCAAATGTCAACGAATATTAACTCGCCGATGTGGAATTGAAAAGTTATCGATTCTTAAATTTGAACATCAACACAAATAATTTTAATCAAATCAAATATCGTCCATACTTTGGGTTTGTTCACTGAAAAAAAAGAAAATCAACAAAAAGCAGTTAGTTAATCAATGATAACTTCAGATTTTTCAGTATGTCCACAATTTAAATTTGGACCTGATTGACGATCACACCTTTCAACATAACGAAGATTATGATCACCATAACTATTATAATCATCATACATTGGTAATTGAAGCATTTCGGATCGGAATTTATCAAGAAAATAGGCCCATGGTTTTATAATTTGTTGATGATTATCGTCATTGTCAGTGATATTGGTTGATATCGATATCTGTCGTCGTGTATAATATTGAGGATGACCTTCAAATTCATCAAGAAATTTCAACATTTCGTTATCGATTTCATAGATTTCGCCTTTAATTTTCTTTGAAAATGAAGAAAAATTGAATTAATTTTCGAATGAAAATGATCGAATAACACACATACATGACCAGTATTGGATTTATATAAAAGATATGGTATATTATATTTGGATGCAATCACTAATGGCCAACGATCGACAGTTTGTCCAATGCAAACAAATTTTGCTTGACCATTTTTTCGATCAAATAATACCGAATGATTTGGTTGATCTTGATCGAAAAAAATAAAAAAGTTAAAAGAAATGTTTTTTGATAATTTGAAACAAACTTTTTTTCAATGTTCCATAAACAAAAACAAGATGTTCCAAATGATGATCATTGTTGTTGGCAAAAGATTTTCGTAAAACGTCGACCATTTTTCTTGATAAAATCATCGATGATAATCATAATCGATTATTAATTTGAACATGTGTAAAAACAGAAAAATGTGATCACATGACGTGTCGACAGCAAAGAAAAAGTGTTTGTTTGTTTGCTTAAAAATTGTTCCCTTGAACTTTGCTTTGAAAAACGAGTGCGCAAAAATCGCTATAATCATTAACCTAACCTCACTGAACTATGAATCATAGTGATTGTCATCAACCTAACCTCACTCAACCATAAGTGAGCCATAGTCATAGTCATCAACCTAACCTCACTCAACTATGAATCATGGTGATAGTCATCAACCTAACCTCACTCAACTATGAATCATAGTGGTAGTCATCAACTGATTAGCTGTTTTTCAGACCGCCATCTATTGTTCAAAATATGTCGAATATTATTTATTCACAAAAATGAGTCATGAAATATCATGATATCATGATTACGAACAACAATTGTGTTTGTTTTGATTTTGTTAAATCTAATAAAGAAAAGGTTTAATGAAATAATTTCCAAGAAATTATTTAATACCTGAAACATTTTTGAAGAAAAAAATAAAATCAACCACGATCGATCCAAAAATGGAAATCGCCAGTATTAATAATAATTTTATCAATGAAGATTTCAATGGACAACAAACTTTACCAAAGAATCAAAAAAGTATGTAGGAAAAAAAGTAAACTCTGTCATCTTAATTTTAAATTTATTTAATTTCTACTAGAAACGCACGAAATAACATTCAAAAAATCTTCATCAATTCGATATTCAAATGCAAAATTATTTCATGATAATTATCTTATCATAAATGCAATCGGTGCTCTACACACTAAATTGGGCGATGAAATCATCAGCGGGAAATTGTTTTTTTCCATTGAAAAATTCAAATTTTCACCAGCGACCAAATCATCGATACGAACGTTGATGAAAGAATCGAAAAGTGGACAAGCCTTTGTACGAGAAATTAAAGTTTTGGTCAGTTTATTGATATCGGATTTGAATCAAATTTTTGTACTGCCACCACCGGATTCAGTTTTACGAGAAACATCTTTAAAATTAAATTTTGAATATCCACAATTGCAAAAAATATATGAAAAAGAAAAAATGGAGAAATATTTTAACGATGTTTTATTCACCGTAAGTTTTAAAATCCGGAAATTCTTTTCTTTATTTCTAATCAATTGTTTGTTTCTGGTTATTTACAGAAATGTATTCAGAAAAAGTTACGCAACAAATTTAATGTTGTCGAAAGACGTTTAAGAGAAGCAATCAGCACCGAAGAAGATAAAATAGAATATCTGAATCGTAAAAAAACTCTTAAACAAAAATCAAATTGAATTTTATTGAATGGTGTATACTTCTATAATGTTTTTTATATTTATAATATATTTTCATTTAATTAAAATGATAAAAAGTTAATTAATAATTTGGAATATTTGGTGATTTTTGCCATGCCTTCCCCCATTTGATTAACGTTGGCCACCAGCATCTGGATTCATTGATGATGATAACATCATTAAAAACATTACCGGAACAATATAAATCCACTTTATAAATAGGAAAAAAACATTAATTAGAAATTAGAAATAATTAGTTTAATTAGTTATTGCATATTTACATATTTAGCTAAAAATGATCGATTATCCTGTTTATTGCCACGTAATTTTTCCTGTCGTTGTTGTTCAACACGTGCCAAATAGGTTTTTGTTTCAGGTCTGATAACAAAAGGAAAGGAAAACAAACAAAAATCATTCATTTAAATGAAAAACAAAATAGACTCGATTTTAATTAGGAAGAAAATTAAATTTAGATTAAAAAAAAGAAAGTCAAAAAACAAATTATTATTTAGCATATTGATTCAATGTATCAATCATATCGTTGATAAAAAATTTGCCAGCATTTTCTCCAAAACTAAAATCTAAATGTGTCCATTTTGGATCGGAAATATAAAAATCACGAATTAATTTTACACCAGATTTTTTGAAAATATTTTTCAAAAGATTTAGATTCAATTCAGTGGACAGAACATCATTATGTCCTTGATATAATGCAATTTTTGCTTGTGGTGGAATATTTTCCAATGGAATATCCGGTGCTGTTGATTGATTATAATGTTTTTGATTGCGTGCAGCTGAACCATAATCAAAACGTTGAAAACGGCCACGATTAACTAATTGTGCCCAATGTGCAACATCCCATGTTGATGTTGTTGACGGAGTAAAATGTAGATAAACACCGATACGTGTTTCATTTAGATTTTTTCGATCAAAACCACCAAACAAAAAAATTAGATCAGCACAAAGTGGACGAATATCTGAATATTGACAGAATTTATCGACAAGATTTTCCACCAATGCATTCGATGGTATAAATTCACCGCCAATTATTTTCAATAATGGTTCCATTGGTGAAAAATAACGCATCGGTGATTCAATATCTTTAACGAATGTTATCGGTGCCAATGCAATAAATGGTTGTATAATATCAGCATATTCTGGTTGTAAACTCATCAATGTAAACATTATGGCTGTTCCCTGTGACCAACCGATATAGGCAATAGTTTTACGTTCAGTTGCATTACGAACATAATTAATAGTGGCAGGTAAATCTTCAGTTGCCATATGATCCCAGGTAAATTGCCAAAAATTACGATTCGATGGTGAACGTGTACGATGACGACGTGAATAACGATTACCGCGTGAATTAGCCAGCCAAACATCATATTTTCGGGTTAACATTAATGCAAATGCAATTGTATCACCATATTTTGATTGTTTTGTACGTAAAAATGGTGAATTTATACAAAAATCTGATGATGCACCAAATAAACCATGTTGAACTAGTACAGGTTTCAGATCTTTTTGATTTATTGAACTATTTTTTGGCCAAACAATACGATGAGCTAAAAGAATATAACCATCATTTGTTTCAATAGAATGTTCTTCAACCTCGAATCCACGTGATTCAATCAATTCATTCAAGGTACGATGTTTATCTGGATCATCAGCATCTTCGGTAATTATCGATTGACCATTAGCTATGGTCAACGAAATGATTGAAAAAAGAAGAAAAAATATAGCCGATTTTTTCATTGTAAGTTGAATAAGAGATCAATTTGCGTTGATGACCAAAAATGAATTTGAAAATTTTGGGTGTTTGTCAAAAATGATAGAGTGAAACAAAAAAATCGTCACAACATTCAAAATTTGTTGTTCATATTTGAAACAAACAGTAAAAACAAATAAACACTTGATTACACTGCTATTATAATCAACAACAAAAAAAAAACAAGTAAACAAACTTGTGATTCAATTCAATTCAATTATCTAAATAAAGTAATGATAAATTATTCGACGTTATCGAATTTGTTTAAGAAAGACACATCTTTCGTTATAAGAAACAAAATTTGCAATCAAGGACGCAACCAAGATAGAATGAATCATTCAAAGAAAAATAAATAAAGAAAATCTGGCCTATTGAAATAACAACAACAAAAAACTGGTTAAATGAAATATCAATAAGGAAAAAGAAAAAAAACTAAATAAATAACCAATCTATCAATCGATCGAATGGGAAATAAACCGACAGCCAACAACGATTTGTTTTGGGCTTAATTTATTATCTTTTCTCTAAAATCTTTTCACTATAATAAAAATATCGATTGTATGAAATCTTATGAAAAGATTTAGACAAAAAAAAAAATAATAATAAAATAGAAATGACAAATTTCATTTCTTCCTTGTTGTTAAGTAGAGAAATACAAATCATTTAATAATATTTGAAAGAAAAACTTACCCTGCAGAAATGACAGTTTTACTATATAAAACAGTTGTATTGAATGATTTTGATGATAAATTATCAAATGATGATTGCAATGACGATGACGAAGTACAATATACGTTTGGTATATTTGCCATTAAATATACGAAACGAGAATTAACATCTAATGATATCCATAGCTGATCATTTAATGATGATTCCAATAATGCACACTATTTATCAAATCAAATTGATATTAAATTCAATTTTAGTTTTAAAAATAATTAAAAAAAACTAACCGCAGGTATAAATGTTTTGGAAATTTGATATGGTTTTTCATGTTCAAAAACCAATGTTTGATAAGCTTCTGCTTTCAGATAATAATTGTCACCATTTTTGGATGATTCTTGTAACAATTTTAATTGTTCATCATTGATTGAATCTTGTTTTATAATTGGAACATTATTCTGTATGGTTAGAAGGCCACGATATTGATAATTCTCATCTGGTAATGGAAAAAAATCATCACAAAATAAAATTTTATTTAAAAAAAATCATACCTGAATTGAATGCATGATATAAACGAATAATGACTAGATTGTTTACCTGATTATTCATCATCATATTTTGTTGTGATTGAAAATCATCTAAATTATGATTATTATTAATAATTATATTGTTTGAATGATGATCACATGACTAGACAGAAAAAAAATTGAATTGAAAAAATTAAAATTTTTGAAATATTAAATTAAATTAGAGAATTTACCGTAAAATTCAAACAAATTATTGTTGAAATTATTAATATTATTATCCAATTATAATGTGAGCGAAACATTTTTGTTCTATTTTGTTTTGTTTTGTTTGATTAGATGATTTTTTGTTTCAAAATAGAAAAATCATTCGATTTTGTTTTGGAATCATCTCCAGGATGAGTAACTTCTCGGGAATTGATTTTAGTCAGTTTTTTTCTAATTCCCGGGAAGTTTTTCCGCATTTTATTTCAAATGAAAAAATATTTTTTAAAACAAAAATTAATTCAAAAAAAATTGGAATTTTTATTCAGGAAAACAAATGAAAAATTATCATACAGAAATTTAGAAAAAAAAATTTTATTTAAGCAAGAAAATCTTCATTACGAAGATATTCGCCTGTATCAGCCTGATGAAATACAACAATAGCCATAGGATCAGCAACACGAATATCATTGGATGATTTTGATGCAACACCAAAACCTAATGGTAAATCATTCATTGAATAAATTAAAACACCTTGATATTGTTCAGTATTATCACTGATACGTGAAAGACCAGATTTTAATATATGATTTCCATATAAAAATTGTTGTTCGGCATTTGGTTTTAACCATACTTTATACTGTAAACAAAAAAAAGATATTGTCAAATCAGAAAAAGTTGAAATTCAATTGGTCATTTTACCTTTGCATATGGTGCCATAAATTCTAATGCAGTTATATTCAAACGAAATTTTCTTGTTTTTGTAAATTTTCCAATACAAGTACCAAATGATATTAGATTATCACGTGCTATTGTTGCAGCCAATTTAATCATACGTTCACTTGCATAAAAAACACGTTCATTTTGTAAACGAAATGAATAAATTCCATCTGGACGTTCTAATAAACATTTAACATTTTCACCAATGCTAATTTTGATAATTATGCAAAATGAAAACAAATGAATTCAATGAAAAACAAAGATAAAAATACAACTTACTATTTGGATAATTTTTCCAAAACTAATCTAGTTTCTTCGTCGTTAAGTGGACGCATATTTGATGATGATAATGATGGTCGATAATGATGATGATGATAATTTGAAAAAATTAAATTAAAATTTTAAAAAATCAAAATTTTGTTTCAAACATGTGCTCATGACAAAAATCACACACACACCGTCACATCATCTATGAATTATTTTGGCTAAAAAAACGTTCTTCAAAATAAAATTCAAAACATGTGATTCAAAATTTTCAAAATTTTCAAAATCAATTCAGGCAATTCATTTTAGTTCAAATAAAAAAAACATGAGACCTTTATCAAGATTATCTGCTTATTATCCTAGTCTTTTAAATAAAATAGGTCAGATTCGATGTTTATCATCATCCGCATCATCATCAAAGGTTTGTTTTGAAATATAATTCACGAAAACAACAACGATAATAATTTATTTGATTTTGCTATTCACCAAAAAAAAAAGCCATTCTATGATTATTCATTATTACCGGATAAAGGTGATCAGAAAATATGTCACGCTCGACAAATGCTTGGTTTTAAAACACCACCATTATTTGTTATACGTAAATCAAGTGTATTTCTATATGAATCTTGTACGGATAAAATTGATATAGCAAAATTTTTCGAAACACTTAAATTGGATGATACATTTAATTCATGGTTCTGTATTACTCGGTGGCATGTTTGGTATGATCATCTTTTTTCCTTTTTCTTTTTTCAATTTAAATGTTATTTTTTTTGTTAATAATGTTACAGGATGATAGCTAATCGATGTATGCAAGACAAAGTAAATGGTAAAACATTACGTAATGAATTAATAAAACGAATGTGGGAAGATGTTAATAATCGTTTGGATAAATTATATGTAAGTATTTTATTCCATCAATCAATTCTAATACATAATTTACAAATATTTTTTTGCATATAGTTCATAAAACGACGAAAAAAATATGTAATGATACAACAATTATATTCAGAATTTAATGCAGCATTATTTGGTCTTGATGAAGGATTAGTTACTAATGATTGTATATTGGCTGGTGCTATTTGGCGTACAATACTCGGTATGAATGAAGAAAAAACTGATCCAATCATTTTAGAATTATTAGTACGATATACACGTGTTCAGGTAAGATTTGTTTTGTTTTGTTTTTTTATCTTGATCATTCATTTTAATAATTTTGTTTTTATTCTCTATAGACACAACATTTATCAACAACAATTTCACCCAATTATTTACTATTCAATGGTAATATTGCATGGAAAAATTTACCACCTTTAATTGATAATAATAATGATAATAAATCAACAACAAAATTAGCCTAATTGATCAATAAAACAAATTTATTTAAAAAATGTTTCTTCTTTTTTTTCTTTGATTACAAATTTGTACTTGATTTGAATTTTTATTTAAAAAAAAAATTATCAATCAGTCTGATTTATAACAAATCAGACTAAATGATATGTTTTTTTACAAATACTGATAATCCTTTATCTGGCATGATTTTCGGATCTGTTTTTTGTTCAAAATAGGAAAACAACATCACTTGATCAAGTTTGATCAATTGATTACTGGAAAAGATGCCGGGATTGATTTGTTCGTGTGTGTGTTTGTCATTTAGAGTGAGAAAAACATTCATTTTCCTCGATTTTTTTTGTTGATAATTTTTGTGCGAATTTTTTTTTTGGCAATCAAATTTTGATGATAATAAAAAATTTTTTTTCCTCGAACGACATTCAATCGATACATCTGTCTCTTTCATAAATGTTTTTTTCGTGATTTCGTTTAGTGTTTAATTGGTACCGAGAAAATTTTTTTTTTGTCATTTGCGAAAAAAAAACAATGACTGATTCGACGAAAAAAGAGAAAAATGGTTTTCATCATCACCATAACCAGGATGATTCGGAAATATTAAAACCCGAAGAAACAAATGTCCTATTCTATGATAATGTGTAAGTAGTGATTCTTTTTCAAAAACTGATTCCATTGGGTACATTTTTTTCAATTTAAAAAAATTTAAAAACTACAGAATACATTATCGAAAAGAATCAACATTAAGTGATTATAAATGGAAATTAGATATTGATGGATTTAAAAATTTTATCAATGTTCTTTTGGTAAGAATTAAAAAATTTAAAAAAAAACAACAAATTTTTCATACATTCATATTTAGCTTATATCGGTCGGTAGATTAGTATTGGAAAATGCAACCAAATATGGTTTGAAAGCAAATCCCATTCAATGGTTTGAAAATATATTCTATGAAGAAAATCGTCCATTAATATATGCAGCATTGTTGACCAATTTGTTTGCATTATTTTCACTGTTTATGGAACGTATATTTGTTTTTTATCTAGAATCATTGGGACGTGTTACACAAGAAAATCTACCCGAATCATCAATAACATTTACACCAAAATCTGATGGTCAATTGATTCATATGTTAAGATTTGATTCGACTCCGAATGAAGAATATATATTCGGTTGGATTTGGTCAACAATATTATTGATAATGTTATTCATACCGATTGGATTAACAATGAAATGTGATTGTAATCCATATTTACTATCAATACTATGTTTATGGTATTTTGTTGTATTTTTTAAATTATATTCATATCATCAAGTCAATTCATGGTGGCGTACCCAACAAGTTTATAATGGCTATCGTAAACCAACTAAAAAAACTAATGAACAATTAGAACTTTATCAAGGTGAAACATTACGTGCATGGGATCCAACACGTTTAATTCTGTATCCAGATAATTTAACAATAACAAATATTTTACGATTTATTTATCTACCAACCAATTGTTATCAATGTAATTTTCCAATGAAAAAATCTCGAAATTTTACATTTATGTTTCGTTGTTTTATTGAATTTGTAAGTGAATGAAATACATTTTGAAAAGATTTAATATATTTTTGCTCAATAGATATTTCTAATTGAATTATCATGTGTATTGATACAACAATGGATTATTATACCGTTAGAAGATCGTCATTTTAATCCATCCGAAACAACTGTATCACAATTTCTTTTACAATGGTCAAAAATGTCGGTATGTATTTTGTCAAATGGTTCGAAATTTAAATTGAAAATTGAAAATTTGTTTTCTTTTTGAAAAAAAGCTTGCTACAATAACCATTTGGTTATTAGGTTTTTATTGTATTTTTCAATCATTAGCTAATTTGATGGCTGAAATATTATGTTTTGCTGATCGCCATTTTTATGATGATTGGTGGAATAGTCGTACAATATCAGAATTTTGGCGTCGTTGGAATCTACCGATTCATCGTTGGCTGAAACGTCATCTATTCTATCCAACATTATATCAAGGTTATAGCCATTTTCAGGCAACATTTTTGGTATTCATATTTTCCGGTATATTTCATGAATATTTTGTTTCCGTACCATTGGGTCGTATTTGTATACATTTTTTCTTTGGAATGTGTTCACAAATTTTATTTGAAATGTTAGCAAAAAATATTCGTTCATGGCATTTAGCTAATGCATTAGTTTGGTTATCATTAATATTGGGACAACCATTATTAATTTTATTATATTATAATGATGTTATTAATTATAATTGATATTTTAATACATAACACAATAATAATCAATCATATAGATAATGATCAATACTAATCCTTCCTTTATAATCGAATAAAAATTGAAATTTTTATTTTTGAAAATCAATAAAATTATACAGTATGTGTACTGTTATAGGAAGAGGTGGAGTGAAAAAAGATAAATATTGTAGATGTTATAGATAGATATGGGCAGGTAAGTAGGATGGACTTTTTTTTTGGTTTGTTTTTGGACAAAGGGAGGAGCCTGTAGTGTTTGTATGTCACCATATATAAATTGAATGGAATTTCAGAATTTATATTTGCAAAAGAATCTTCAGCACACACACACACAGAATCTGCACAGAATTCTTCATTGATGTGAAAATTATTGTGAAGTGCAGCCATACATTTGTTTAGTGATCAAAAAAAATATGGAAAAAAAATCTGATCGATCATCATCGATAAATTGAAAATTCTGGTAAGTTTGTTTGAATTTTTTTCAAAAATTTCATTTGAAATCATCATTGAAAAATTAATTTAATGGAACTAATTTTCCATTCAACAGAACAACACTTGAATATTTAGAAAAGAAAAAAAGTCAAGTTATTTTATACAATAAAGTAAATTGACTGTAAGTTGAGTTTGTGATCACACAGGTTCAATGATGCTTAAAAAAAAATAAGCCAACCAATCAGCTAATCAGTCTTTGTATAACCGCTAATTTGATTGTTTTCTTAAAATGTTTGTTGTTGTTGTTTTTTACGATTCAACAACAACAACAAAAAATTCTTAACACTTCGTTTCATTTGAAACTAAACATCAGCTTTTTTTCTGGTCGAAATTTATTTATTTTTTGGTTCACCACTATGAATGATTTCCAACCCCACAACCTTTGGCCCTTGATTATTCATTCAATATCGATGCCTTTTGTTATTGAAATTTGATCCCAATATCGGTGTAAAAAAGAAAAAGTTTCGGGTTTCCTCATCATCATCATCATCACATTCAATTCCTTTTATCAAGGGATTTTTAACAAAAAAAACGACCTGCAATAACCGAAAAACAGTGTCCAAAAAGAAAGCTTAGGTTATGTGTTATGTTCCATAGGTTTTTATCATTCATTCATTCATTCGTCATGACATGAATTCAATTTTTTTTCATATGAAAATCCTTAATATAATTCTAGTTTTATCAAAAAACAAAATAGGATTAATAAATTGACGCGCTACTTTTTTGGAAACAAAAAAAAAAAACATTAAAAACAAAACTCACATCTGTCCTGTCCCTTGTTGTCTTGTAACGTGTTGAATATATGATTGTAATGGTAACTAACATTGAAAAAAAAATCGTCAATGTTGTTTGGTGTTGATTAATCTAATTATCATTGATTATTCATTCTATTTCAATTTTCACAAATTCTACCGATTGATGATGATCGTGACCAGATGGCCAATAACGATAACGATGATTATTATTATAATGATGATGGAGGCTTGAATTTGTTTGTATTTCGGGCATATTTTTTCTGAAATTAGCATTATTATTATTCCGCAGTGTTAGATCAGTCAAAACAGAGCGAAAGTAAAATGTATTATCCCTTGTCACTCGGCTTTTCTTTTCATTTTAACCTTTGTTGCCTTACAATCCAATCATTCACACTTTCATTGTGTGTTTGTCTTGTCCTGCATCAAATGTTTTTATTTTTTTTTCGTTTTCCAACTTAATTTGAATGACAATAGACCTGATCTAAGCAGCCGAAAAAAATAACAAAGTAAGCCGAGCTAAGCTAAACACAGAGAAATAAAAACAAAACAAAAAAACGATGAACAGAAGTTTTCGGAAAAAAAATGTTCCGATCCTTCCGAAAACTTTCAATTTTTCATCGAAAAATTTTCATTTTTTTTCAATTCCAGACTTTCCAGACCCAGAATAATGTGTTTGAATGGAAACCATAGGAATCAGGATTCAATTGAAATGATGATGATTATGACAACTACGATGGATATCGACAACAACAACAATCATCATCGATTAAAATTCAATTCAAAACGACAACAACAACAAAATTTATCAATCGATTTGGATTCCTCATCATCCGCATCATCATCATCATCATCATTGAATACAATTATTATGGATCATCATCATCAACATAGATATCAGCATGAATCATTTGATCAACAAAAACAAAATTTTTTGCCATATTATCATCATCATCATCAAGCTAATAATAATCATGTTGTTGTTGTTGATTCAAATTTTTCAACAACAACAACAACAAGGATCTCGAATAATAATAATGAGGATGATAATCAAATTTTTTATAACCAAAATCAACAACAACAACAATATTATAATAATAATTTACAGTTAATCAACAACAACAACAACAACCGAATAGATACAAATCATCATCAACAACAACAAACTAGCAAAAAATTCAATTATCAAACGGAATCAACAACAACAACAAACGAAAAAAACAACAACTGCTACCAATTTCAGCATCAGCATCAGCAAACATCCTTATTATCAACATCATTGAATCAAACGGATGATGATGATGATGATTGTAATGTAATTTGTAATTCGCCTTGTTGTAATACATCATCATCATCATTGCATCAACAACAATCGGAAACAACAACAACAACAACCAAAACAACAAAATATCGTAAAAATCGTAAACAAAATTTAAAAATTAATGGAAAATTAACGAATGGTAATGGTCAACAACGACAAAGAAAATCTGAAATGGATCCAGAATTAGCACGATTAAGTCGTGAAGAACGTCGACGTCGTCGTCGTGCTACAGCAAAATATCGCCTGGCACACGCTACACGTGAACGTATTCGTGTTGAAGCATTTAATGTTGCATTTGCTCAACTTCGTCATCTTCTGCCAACATTACCACCGGATAAAAAATTATCCAAAATTGAAATATTACGTTTAGCTATTTGTTATATTGGTTATCTTAATCATGTATTGGATGTATAGACAAGAAAAGGATTCCTACGCTTTTTTTTCAGTCAAAAAAAACAACTAGTCAATAATTTATATCAGAGAAAAACAAATAGTCAATTTGTTTCTTTTTTACACAAACACTTTCTTTTTTGGTTGAATAAAAATTTTAAAAAAAATTCAAATTTTGCATATCGAGAGAAATGTTTTCAAAATCAAAATCGAGATTAAAGGAGATTTTCCAAAAAAGTTTTTCAATTATGGTTTCTATAAAACTAGAAGCCAGGAAAAAACACGTGTGTCGATGATGTGTTTTGCTTGGTGCCTGTCTGTTTTGAAATTCAAATTGAATGATGAAAATTTTTTGAAACTTTGTAGAAATTTATTCAGAAAAAAATCCTATTCTATTTTTTTGATCGACGTGCGTCACACACATATACAAATAAATCCATCATCATCCGCATCAAATTCAAATTCAAATTCAATTCTATTACACATGATGCAAAAACATACATCACCTTTATCTGAAACATCAGTCAAGTTTGGAAACAACAAATATAGCGAGAGAGAAAAACATTAAAGTGATAAACAAATTCTGATGATGATGATATCTTTACCACCACTATAATAATAATCGATAGCGGTTTCTGTTTCTCTTTATATCTCCATTTTGCCATCACTCTATCGTTATAATAATAATAATAAATTTCAAATTTACTGTCGAGAGAGAATATCGAAAGAGATGGATGGATTGAATTTTTTTTTCTATATTTCTAGGTTTTTATTGCTGAATTTGATGCATTTCACTGCAAATCGCTTAATATTATTATTATGGTTTACACACACAAATTGACTATATTGTGTTTTGGGAATTGTCACTTATTAGTTCAATTATATTTTTTGAGAAGCAAGACTTAGTATTACTATCTATTTATTTTATCCTGGATCGCTATTTGTTCCACCGCCACCAACACACACTGACGATATGGATCATTGGATTTACGAATTTTTGTTTTTCTCTCTTTCTCTGGATTTTTTTCATCTGCTGCTGTTGTTGGAAAATGGATTCTAGAGATTCTGGAAACAAAAAGTATGGGAGAATAAATCTAGATTCTGTTCTTTCTCTCGCTATCATCATCATTTTGACAAAAACAATCAATTTCATTTCATTTGGACCAAAATTGGAAAGAAAAATTCGTATTCGTTTTTTTTGTTTGGAAATCGAAACCAAAACTTGAAAAACACAAACAATAAGTTTGATGCCAGATTTTTTTTTCTTTGGTTACGGTTTCATACTTTGGACCAGCCTAGCAAGCCAACCAAATCAGTCAAGCCAAACCGAAACTATCTAGTTTTTGGTTTGATTGAAGTTTCGATTTTTGTTTTTCTCCGTTTTTCGGTTCAAACGAAAATAAAATTGATTTTCTTTTTTTACAAGTTACGATCATTTCAGATTCAAATACAGAAGTGAAAAAAAAGTTTTTTCCAATCAAATTTGATGTTTTTTCGATTGAAAATTATCGATTTTTTTAAAAGTGTTTGGTTTGATCAATTCAAATAATAACCTACCTTTAAAGATCCAAAATAAACATTGTTAATGATTACATCTTGAGATTTATTCATCCATTTCGACCAAATCAACCATCTAACCAATATAATGAATATAATTATTTAATGATTCAATAATAAAAAACACTTAATTACCCAACACACGGTTAGATTAGTTCAAATAGTAATAATAATCATATGGTCAATTTGATTCGGGTTTGATTGATCGCGTGGCATGAACACGCTTCATTTGCCAATTTCGGGTATACAAGTCATTCAATTCAATTTGTCAGAAAGTAGTTCGTTTTGTTTCTCTCGCTCTCGTTCTTCACATTTAAATTGGCTTATTATTTTCATTGATGACTGTATAGCAAACAATAAATTCTATCAAACAAAGCAAAAAAAAAAACAAAACAAAAAACATTGTTTTGTTTGAATCCGGGGAATATTTGTTTGTTTTTCCCGAAAAATTTATATTCGGGTATTATATTCGAATGTTTGTGTTTCGAATTATATTTCTACCCAAATGGATAGAGTGATGTACTATTAGACACTATTGAGTGTGAATCACCAATTGAAATTTTTTTTTTCTTTTTTCGTTTTCGTTTTCAATGTTTATTCATCTTTTTCCTCTTTTTTATTCGTCGACGATATTTTTTTTTGTTGTTTTTATCTATCTATCGATGATGATTCGGTAGCGATAATTAAATTATAATGTTTTTCTTTCCGAAGAAATGAAGAAAAAGAAAGAAAAACGATGGTAACCCGGACGGAAAACAAAAAAAAACTCGAAACTCGAATCGAAAATTTGTTATCCAAATACAGTAAAGTTTTATTAGATTAAAATTGATAATTTTTTTTAAATAAAAAAAAACTTTTAAAAATTCATTCATTTTATTTATAATTATAATTCTGTTTATTTAAAAAATATAGAAAGTGAGTGAGTAAAATGAGATGCTGAAATAAGATTTAATAATTATCATTAATTGTTTTTTGAATCCAATCATGAAAATATGCAACATTTGTATAGATATTTGGTCGTTTTGCGGATAAACATGTTGATGATCCAACCGATACAATACCAATTAATTTATTACCACCATCAATGTCGAATGTTAATGGTCCACCTGAATCACCATTACAAGCACTTTTATCCAAATCTCCGGCACAAATCATTGATTCGGAATTTACTTGAAACATTGTTGACCATTGTTGTTGACATTCTTCCGTATCTACTATACGTAATTTTGCCATTAATAAACGTTTTGAAATTGGTAATGATCTTCCAGTACGTCCCCAACCACTTACAATAACACTTTGATTTGCTTCCAGATTTGATTTTTCATTCAATTCAGCTGAACTGATTAATAAGGGAATTTTTGGCAAGGGATATGTCAAACGCAGTAAAGCCAAATCATTTCGAACCAAAGATGGATTATAATCTGGATGTACATGAATTGAATGTATGGCCATTAATGGACCGGAATCATATTGTCTTGATGCATATCGGATTTTAAGATTTTCCGGTTGATAACCATTAACACAATGTGCTGCGGTTAGTATAAATCGACGGGATACAAATGAACCACCACAAGCAAATTTATCACGACGAAATAATGCAATCTGATATGATCGTTGCCCGATACCGACCAATTCACCATCGACAATACGTTCATCGTCATTATTACCATCGATATTATGATGACATGGAAGTTGTTTTTCCACCACAGTCATTGGAATCGAATCAACATCATCGGTACAATAATTTTTATTAGATTTTTCCGCCGTTGAATCATTATTTGGTGGATTTAGCTGATTATTCGATAAAAATGATGGTATAATTTCGGAAACGGATGGCCATTTTAGGAAATTAACACCACCGCCGCCACCACCATCAGAATCAGATATGCCAAGAATTGCAGAACTACCACCACCACCAGGTAAAGAATAGCTATTCCATAAATATGATGATAATAAATAGACGAGGAAAAATTTTACAGTCAATACAAATGATAATGTCATTTTGGCTGGATTCAATGTTATACGATGATTCTTTGATCGTTTGGTTGGTTGGTTGAAACGAATATGAAAATCAAATGGAAATTGTTCGGAATATTTATAGTGTGAAGACCGTACACACACACACACCAGGGTTAATCATGATTTTCATCATGATAAAAATGTACTCTTTTTCGCAAGAAAACATTTTTTTTTATTATCCAAGAAGACAACAAAAAGCAATAAAAAAAATCAAAAGTTTTAAAGATTTGTTAACCCCTCAAGCTCAGCACAGAATTGTTCCAGATTTAGATATCCAAATACTTCGATTATGCTACTACTACCACCACTGCTATAATTGATCTCTTTTGATGACCACCGTTTTGTAGTTAAAGGATTATTATTATTATTATGATTGTTTAATGATAATATTATCGATAATGTTTTTGACTTTGTTTCGGTTGTTGTTTCGTTTGTCCCTATGGACCATGATGATGATGATGATGACGATGAATCTAATGTGGAACGTAAGAAATCGTTATCATCAAAATCAAAATCATCATCGTTGTCGTCGTTGTTGTTGACAACAAAAGAATTTTCAACAAATTTATATTTTATCAATTTTAAATCATGTTTTACGGAATGTTTTGTTGTTGTCGTCGTAATTAATCGACGTTTTATTGGCCGAAAATTTTTTATATTTACATTTTTGTTCAGCTTATTTGATCGTGACGAATTATTGATTTTCGCTGAAAACTTTTTCATTTCTAAATTTGTTTTCCTTATTGCTAATTTGGTTGTCGATACATTCTTTTTACCCTTAATGATAATAGCTGGTGTCGATTTTTGATTAGAAATTTTCTTCACTGATAAATTCGTTGTTGATGAATTTTGGAATCGTTTTGTTTGAATTTTAGAATTTCTTGTAGTTGTTTTTTGCATCATTTCTTTGGAAAAACAGAAACTATAATGGATTTTGGAACTTAAATATAATTTTCGTCTAATTACAAAAAAAAATCATAATTAGGTTTATTAATTACAAAAAAAAAGGAATTTTAATAAAATTCAAATTAACCCGCGCTCTCTATAGCCAAACAAAAAACAGATGCGGACGTCATCTATGAACAGGTTTTGTTTTTAGGAATTTTTTTGTTTATTTTTTTTTACTCGAATATTTTTTGATCGAAAGAATCTCGATAGACAACGATGATGTTGATGTTATGCAACATTTTTCGTTGTTTTAGATCTCTTATCGGATAAAATTTTTAATAAATGAAATTCATCTGCCTTTGATAATAATATGCATCATCAACGGGCAATGAATCCATTGGATATTTGCATGGATTATGGACAAAATCCATCAAATAGTTCTTCAACAATGCATCAATCATCATCATCATCAACATCGCAGCAACAGAATTCCAATCAATTGCATAATAATAATTCATCGACAACAACAGCGATGCCACCCCCACCTCCACCACCACCTCGACCAACTTCAAGTCAATCAACATTAATGAATTCCAGTCCTAATATAATTCTATCTACTGGATTTCATCCATCATCATCATTACGATCACAATCAATACGATCATCATCAAACTCAGCCACCACAAATTTGGATTCGAATACTACCGTTGCCGTTAAACGTTTTGAATATACATCTGAAAAACATTCGAAATTAATGTTAGAATCATTATCAATATTACGACGACGGCGAGAACTTTGTGATGTAATTCTTATTGTTGGACAAAGAAAAATCTATGCTCATCGTGTTTTATTGGCTGCATATAGCCCTTATTTTCTTGGTAAGAATTGACTTTAAATTTATTGTAATTAATTTTAAACAATAATCACTAATTTATTATTAGCCATGTTTACTGGAGAATTGGCCGAATCCAGACAAACAGAAGTAATCATCAGAGATATTGATGAACATGCAATGGAATTATTGATTGAATTCGCATATACTTCACATATCATTATTGAAGAGAATAATGTACAAGTTTTATTACCGGCAGCATGTTTATTACAAATGAATGAAATACAAGAAGTTTGTTGTGAATTTTTACGTCGTGAATTAGATCCTTCAAATTGTCTGGGAATAAGATCATTTGCCGATACACATGCATGTCAAGATCTATTACATTATGCAGATAAATATACTCAGGATTATTTTCAAGAAGTAATTGAAAATGAAGAATTTTTATTATTACCTGTTAATCAATTGATCGATATTGTTTCGACCGATGAATTGAATATTACAACTGAAGAACAAGTTTATAATGCAATTATGAAATGGGTTCGCTATAATGTACAGGAACGTAGCCAACATTTGGCACATGTATTACAACATGTAAGATTATCACAAATGTCGGCAAAATTTTTAGTTGGAACTGTTTCATCGGATATATTAGTAAAAAATGATGAAGCATGTCGTGATCTAGTTGATGAAGCCAAAAATTATCTATTATTACCACAAGAAAGATCATTAATGGTTGGACCGCGTTTTCGGCCACGTAAACCAGTTCGTCGCGGCGAAATTTTATTTGCAGCCGGTGGATGGTGTAGTGGTGATGCTATTGCTTCGGTCGAACGTTATGAACCACAAACACGTGAATGGCGTATGGTCGCACCAATGAATAAACGTCGTTGTGGTGTTGGTTGTGCCGTATTGAATGAATTGCTTTATGCAGTTGGTGGACATGATGGCCAATCATATTTGAACAGTATTGAACGCTATGATCCTCATACAAATCAATGGTCAATTGATGTTGCACCTACATCAACTTGTCGAACTTCGGTCGGTGTTGCCGTTCTTGATGGATATCTTTATGCAGTTGGTGGACAAGATGGTGTTTCATGTCTAAATATTGTTGAACGATATGATCCACAATCGAATCGATGGACAAAATTAGCCGGTATGACTACTGGTCGTCTTGGTGTAGCTGTTGCCGTTCTTGGTGGCTATCTTTATGCTATTGGTGGATCCGATGGTAATAGTCCATTGAATACTGTAGAAAGATATGATCCACGTACAAATCGATGGAATCCAGTCGCACCAATGTGGACACGAAGAAAACATCTTGGTTGTGCTGTCTATAATAATATGATCTATGCTGTTGGTGGTCGTGATGATACAACGGAACTTAGTTCTGCCGAAAGATATAATCCACAAACCGATACATGGCAACCAATTGTAGCCATGACTACTAGACGTTCCGGTGTTGGTCTTGCCGTTGTAAATGGATTTTTATATGCTGTTGGAGGTTTGTTTTGTTTTGTTTTTTGTCTATATCTAATTTTACTTATCATGATTTATTCTATAAATAGGATTCGATGGTACAACATATCTGAAAACAATTGAAATGTATAGCCCTGAAGATAATCAATGGCAATTGTGTGGTTCAATGAATTATCGACGTTTAGGTGGTGGTGTTGGCGTTATTCGTATGTCACATCCAACAACAGAATCTTCATTTACAATTAAATAATTTGTTTGGTGGTTATCAATCAATCCGATAGATGCCAGTGATTTTTTCAAAAAGTTTTCTTTTTATCTATTTTATTTCATTTTATATTGAAATTATTTTTATTTGTATAAAATTAAAATAAAAAAATTATGTTTTGTAAAGTGTTAAATAATTTTGTTGTAAAAATTTGAATTTAAAAAAAAATAGTAAAGAAAAGCTTACGACACCGAGTGTTCCCAAGTGGTCACCCTCCCAAGTACTGACTCGGCTCGACGTTGCTTAACTTCGGTGATCAGACGAGAACCGGTGTTCTCAACGTGATATGGTCGTAAGCTGAAAGAATTGGTCGAAATTGAAATATTTATACGGAAAAAAACATTGAATAAATAAAAAACAAGTGTGAAAAATTTTCCGAAAATAATCAATATGGGAAAAGTTTTTGTATAAACATTTCGGCAAAAAAATTGAAATGCCTGATTTGATTAGTATAATAATTTGTGTTAGAAATTCGGAAAAATATCTTGAAGAATGTCTTGAATCAATTGCCCAGCAAAATTTCGATCATAATTTATTAGAATTATCTATTTATGATGATGGATCATCAGATCGTTCATTAGATATTATCCGATCATGGTATAATCAATATTGTTCCACTCATCATCAAGACAATAGAATTCGATTGATAATCAATTCAAATCCGGATAAAGATAAACCAAAAGGTGTTGGTGGTGCAAAAAATCATGCTATCGCTCAATCGAATGGAAATTATTTATGTTTTTTTGATTCAGATGATATAATGGATCCGGAAAGAATTCAAAAACAATATGAAATTTGTAAACAAAATCCTGATTGTATTGTTGGTTGTAAAGTTCGAAGGATTCCTGAAAATTCAACACCACGTTATATTGAATGGGCAAACAATTTAACCGAAAATCAATTAACCCAGCAGATTTATACTTGTTTTGGACCAACCATATTGATGCCAACATGGTTTTGTACACGACAATGTTTCGATAAAATTGGTGCATTTGATCAATCGGATTCGAAAGGCGTACCAGAAGATTTAATTTTCTTCTATAAACAAATTCGCAATGGTGGTGGTATCAAAAGAGCTGATGATATTCTACTAACATATCGTTATCATTCAGAAGCGACGACATTTTCTGTTTTGGATGAAACAATTTGGAATATTCGTTTGGCTGAATTGGAAAAAAATGTACTTAGCAAATGGAATCAATTTATGATATGGAATGCCGGTAAAGAAGGTCGTCGATTTTATCGTTGTCTTTCCGAACAGAATCGTTCAAAAGTTCAAGCATTCTGTGATGTTGATCCTAAAAAATTAGCTAAAAAATTCTATGTTTATGAAACTTGCATTAAAGGCATCAAAGATAAACCAAAAATTCCTATCATACATTTTTCCAATCTTAAACCACCGATCGTAATTTGTATCAAATTAGGCTTAACAAATGGTCAATTTGAACAAAATCTTCATTCAATGAATCTAAAAGAATCAATTGATTTTGTACATTTTGGTTGAGAAAACAAAATAAAAATAAAAATAATTTTTAATATATCAGATATATATTGTCTTTATCTCGGGCTCGCTTTACTTTCTATCGTTTTCTTCGCGATTATCATTAGCTTTCAAGCGGAATCCGATGAACGTGTTAATGAATTACTATCTTTTAATGAAAATTCCAAGAAAGATGGTTTTGTATTTGTTTTTGATGTTTTTCCAGTTGTTCCAATTGATCCATCTTTTGTTTTTGATCCTGATGATTTTTTTCCAGCAAAAAAATCTTGAATCTGTTCATATGTTTTATTTTTTGTTTCGGGTAAACAGAATAATGTAAACAATACACTAGCAGCTGATAGAGCAGAAAATAGATAAAATACACCATGTTGTGTTAATAATTCTTGTAATTCTTTAAATGTTTTTGTTACAATAAATGCTAATGCCCAATTAACAGTTGTACTGCATGCAGCAGTTAAACTTGATGTTTCACGTGGTGTAATTTCGGCAACCATCAGCCATGGTATTGGTCCCCAACCAACTGCAAAACCAATAATAAATATAACCATACTAAATACTGGTATCCAACCCAATGTTTCTTTTTCTTGTAAAAAATGATAATAAACACCGAATAGCAGCATACTGATTACATGTACAACACCGGATATTAATAATAATGAACGACGACCAATTAGATCGACCAATACAGCTGAGGCAAATGTCGCTAACCATTGTGCTAGACCGATCAATATTGTACCTAAACTTGGTGTTATTGAACTACCAGCTTCATGTAATATTGGTGTTGCATAAAACATAACAACATTAACACCAGAAAACTGTTGAAATGACATCAATCCTAATGATAATATTAATGGTACTAAATTCTCTTTTTTCTTATATAGATGCCATTTTGAACCATTTTTTGTTTGTTTTTGTTTTTGTTTTTCTTTATCATCACCAAGACTACCGACAGTATCAATGCTACCTTTTTCTAATTTTGATAGTTGTTCGGATTCTTGTACTAAAATATCAAATTCTTTATCAATTTCACTATTAGGACTACGAACGCGAATTAATGAACGTTTAGCTTGATCAAGTCGTTTATGTTGTATTAACCAATTTGGTCCTTCAGGCATAAAATATAATAATATTGCCTGTAATATGGTCGGTGTTAACGATACAATTGATGCCATACGCCATGTGAGAAATGCACCAATAACATATGCAAATAGTATACCGGTAACAATAAATAATTGAAATAAAGCACCTAACGTACCACGTATACGGATTGTTGAAATATCATTAACATAACCAGGCACTGTACCAGATAATGCACCAATTGCTAAACCTAATACAATACGACCAGTTAATATCACTGAACCGGATTGGGCAACAATAATTAATAACCAACCAATTGTCAATGGTATACAATAACCAATCATTGCAATACGACGACCAAAACGTTGTACTATTGAATCGGAAAATGCAGCACCAAATAATGCGGTTAATGGTAATGCTGAACCAATCCATGTTAATAAACTTAAATCATATGGTTCACATAATTGTGGTACACTTGTATTATATGTAAATTGTTCGAATGCTGGCGATGACCAACCAATACCTAAACCAAAACTAAATGCACCAAGCAATGATGAAAATGCAGCTAAATACATTAAAAATGATGCTTCCTGTTTATAACCATATGATTGTTTATCGGGTAATTTTCCTGGTTTTCCAGCAGCAGTAGAAACACTCGAAAATAAATTAGGTGTTGTTGTTGTTAATGTTGGCATTGTTGGATAACCACTTGAATTTGTTTTATTCATTGTTGTACCAGTTGATGATGGACTACGAAGTTTTATTGCCAATATTGGATTATCATGTTCTTTGTTTGCTGTTGTTTTAAACATTTTTTTGGTTGGTTATTTGATGATGATGATGGAAATTTCAAGTTGCAAAGCGAAAAGAAGAACTTAATAAACTAAATAACTAAATAATTACAATCAATCAATATTTATAATGAATTTTTTTTAGGAAAAAATATGGTTCGATTTCATTGATTAATTTGATTTTTTTTCAAATAAATTTTATTTTATTTCGTTTCTTTTTTCTTTTTCAGTTTGTTTGTTGTAAATAAAATTAAACATAAAAATTTTCGAACTTTCATTTTTTTGAGATGAAAAATCCAAAAATCTAAATCCAAACTGGTGTATTGAAAGAATCCGAATAAAAAATTTGATGAGTTGTTGTTGTTAACGAACCGAAATCAATCCACTTTCAATCAATTTAAAAATTTTGCTTGAAATTTCTGGATCTTTTAAATGTCTGCAAACAAAATGAGATTAGAATAGAGATAATAATCAACAGATGAATAACTTACTCATGTAATGCTTTTGGATCATTTTGCATTTGTTCCAATATCATACGCATAGCTGGATCGGCTAATATACTTTGAACTTCAGGATCAGCCATTGCTTGTTTACGCATATCTTCAGGTGTTGATGATGTACAACATCTACGATAACCATCGATTGCTTCTTTATTGTTTTCATCAATTTCTAATGCTTTTTGAAAAGCAGCCTGTGCTTTTGTGAATTCTTTTGTTGCCAACAAAGCATAACCTTTTCGAATATAACCTTTGACTATTATGGAGATAGAATTGAAATTAAATAGAATCTTTCAAAAAAAAACCACTTACCAAAATTTGGATCAAGACGAATACATTCTTCACAATCTTTTAATGCCAAATTAAATTCGGTAAGTTTCTGATAACATGCAGCACGATTACTATAAAGTTTTGCATCATCCGGATTTCGTTTAATAGCTTCGGTATAATGTTTAACAGCGGCAGGATAATCACCTTTTTTAAACATTTCATTACCCAAATTTTTCTCTTCCAATGATTTATCCGGATCAATATATTCTTTACGTTCTTTTTCTTTAATAATTTTTTCCACTTCACTTAATTTTGATAATGTTTCCGGTGTACGATGTTCGGTTAATGATTTTTGAAAAAATGTTCGTGCATCAACATATTGTTCTTTACGTTGATAACAACTGGCCATTCGTGAATATGCTTTAGCAATCAATTTAAAATCGGCACGATTTTCTCGACCAATTTCGATTGCTTTTTCACATTGTTTAATTGCTTCATCATAATTACCTTGTTCAAAATAAACGGCTGCTTTATTATTCAAAAATGTAATATCAGTTGGATCCAATTCAATTGCTTTTTCATAACAGGCTAATGCTTCATCAAATTTTCGTTGTTTATATAGATCATTGCCTTGATTTTTGGCAGCTAAAGCCTAAAAAAGATTTTTGAATTTTTAATTTGAATATTATTAATCAAATGACATTTACCTGAGCTTTATTTTCATCCGAAACGGTAGTCATTGTTGTTGTTGTAAAAATTGTTACCACAAACACGAAAAAAAAAAATAATTTGTTGAGATCGAAATGACAATATTCAATTCGAGATTTAATTTGATTTAAAATCACCAATTGACGAAAAAAATGTCTACTTTTAAGCTTGTCAAACAAACAAATGTCGTTTTTTCTGTTCTTTATTCGATCCGCTAAAAATCATTGAACAAAAAAGAACGCATGAAATGTGTGTTTGTCAAGAAAATTCCAGAATTTACCAGCCAAAATACATATGTAATATAGATCTCTTTTCATACGTTGCAAGTTTTTTTTAAAAACAAAACAAAACATGTTTATACGTTTCAAAAATTTTTAAAATTCATCATTTTTTTCCAAAAAAAGAAAAAAAGAAATGATAAAACCAAATGGAATTTGAATGCAAACGAAAATAATAATTTAAATAAAAAACGATTCATGTTGTTTGTATCGATTTCATCATCTGTGAATGATAAAAATGATAAAAAAAACAACAACAACGAATGATGATATAAATAATAATGATATTCTTTCTTTGTCAGGCATTCGAATGAAGAATGGAATTTCGTTTCGAACCAAAACGAAAAAGATAAATAAATTGCAATTTGTGGCCATAATAACCGACGAACGAACGAACGAACAAACAAATTCCTAACGGGAATTGAATCCCGAGAAGAAAAAAAAACGTGAATCCAATTCATATATAAAAATAAAATATCCATCGTATATTGGCAATCATCATCCACTCTATAAACAACATTCAACCAAGAAAATCTATAATAATAAAAAACGAAGATAATCAGCAACACTTACATTCTTGAATATGATATTATTATATTTTGTTGTTGTTGTTGTTATTCGACCATTGATGATTATGATTCTTATGAAATTCTTATGACGATAATCATATCAACAAAAATATGAATGTAAACTAAGAATTGAAGTGAAATGAAGTGAAGTGAAAAAGCAGTCCCATAAGCAAATGGTTCGATCAAAGAAAAATATTAGAATTTTTTTTTCAAAAATTCTTTTCGGTCGAATAGAATCGATATTTGAAAATGAAAAACAAAAATATTGACCATTACGGTATTGAACATTTTGTTTGTTTGTTTTGGCACGTTCATTGAAAGAAAAAAATGATTAAGGGGGATGCTAACTCTCTCTCTCTCTCTCTGAATCGATTTGAAATGCAAAAAAAAAAAAAATATTCTTCATAATAGCCATACGTGATGATAGAAATCCGATCCTTGAATTTTCCATCAACGATTGGCCGAATCATTTTTCATTATTTTACAAAAAAAAATATGAAACGTGTTTTTTCTGGGTAGCTGGACCGATGAAGAAAAAAAATCAAATTCAAAATCGTTTGTTTTGCTATAGAATCAAATGAAAAAAATGTGAATGAACATCATGTTCCAAGAATAATGGCTTTTTGATTGTCTGTGTGTGTGTGTTTGTGTAGAATTTGCCTGCTTCAAATAGAAATTCTTCAGGCAAAATATAAATAAATAATTTTAATGATGATTTCAACATGGAGAAATTGATGATTGCTTGACAATATGTATGTTTTTTCTATGTTGATGTTGAAAATTTCAACAAAACAAAATTAAATTTAATGAAGAAAAAATGTTACATAATCTGATTATTATGAATATTATTTTCATTTTTTCGTTGATTCGTTTACCATTTTTCATAATCGGATTTGAAATAACGAAAAAAAAATTATATAACAACAACAAACAAAAAATGATTATTCTTCAACATTTGCAGCGAATAATCATCAAATTCTGTTCAATTTTTTCTTCTGAAATGAATTCATCATGGATGCCATATTTGGAATTTTTTTTCTTTTGGAAGAAAAGGGGAAACCAGAAATTGACCGGAATTTGAAAATCAATATATGGTTTTTTTTCCATTATCGAAATATGTTTTTTGCTGTTGTTATTTTTGCTTGATGATCCACAAATAAAACAAACAAACACTGTAATAAATCCATAAGTAAGTGTAGTGCTAAAGGAAAAATCCAGATTTCATTTTGTTTGTCTTAAATGAATAATATTGATATGGGATATTGTAAATGATTTATGAGATTTAACAAATAAATAAATCGATCGATCGATCTTTGTGTTAATGACCATCACTACTACTTTGTTGTTGTTGTTGTTGACCAAATTGTTTTGTTTATCGAAAAGATTTATATTTTTTTCGTCTTAAAAAAAGAAAATCTAGCCATATAGATTTTAATTTGATTTCTGATTTAATATTAAGAATAAGGATAGGATTCATATCAAGAACAAAGGCAAACATCTTACATTGAACAACAACAACAGAAAACAACAGAAAACATTGAACCAAAAAAATGAATGTTTCAGAAAACAATTTTTCCCGTTGATAAATTATTATCATGTTTTGTGTTTTTCCTTGTATGATCTGGTGTTTGTATGTTTTTTTTCTATTCCCTGTGATAATTTCTGACAGCCAGAAGATATTTTATTATTTTCAATAAACAAAATAAACGAAAACGACATGAATTAATCGATACATCGATCGATCTAAAATAGATTCTAAATGAATTGATTTGCAAGCTGATGCAAGATGGATTAAATCTTTTTTTCGTTTGTTTTTGTTGTTGTTTATTGGATATTTTTTTTAAGATTAGCCTATGGTGTTGTTGGCAAAATGATGATTGATCATAATCAGAAAATGATAGAAATTGAATGTTTAAATATTTTCTGTTTTTTTTTTGTTGTGTGCATATCTATACAATTTACATTCATTTTTCCAACAAAATAATTCAATTTCATAATAACAAAATATTGAACAAGAAGTGGAAAAAGTGAAATGAAATTTTGTTTCTTTTCGCGAAAAAAAACAAGTTGATTTTGTTTGTACATTTTTCTTTTGAAGATATTTGGAATCAACCAAATGCAATAAAAAAAATTGCAAATCAACATGGAATTTGAACCATCAACAAAAATGTGATTATCATCTTTGAAAATGAAAATGAAATAGATTTCCAATTTGTTGTTGATGGATAAAAAATCTAATTTCGACAACCGAACGAGAAAATAACAGGAGAGAAAATCCATTTTCAAATAAAAATAAAGTAAATGAATGAATGAATGAATGTCAACAAAAATCGGAATATTACCTGTGTGTGATAAAGAATATTTTCTTCTTTTTATTTTGGATTCTGGTATTTTTTTTTCGCCAGGGAAAAAAAGTCAATATATTTTTATCGTCGTCGTCCATCACATATAAACATCATTCATTATTGATTAATTTATTTTGTAAATTACAATCCAAATGAACAAAAGTAAACGTTTTCTTTTTTTGAATTTTACATCGAAAAATGCTTGTCAAACAATAAATCATTCATTAACACACACGCACACATTATTCTTTGGGAATTTTTTGTTTGGAGTTCATTTATATTTCACCTGAAACCGAATTCGATCACAATTTTCGCCAGTGAATAACAAACAAACAGAAAACTTTGATTGTTATTCAACCAGCAGCACCAGGTATATTATCAGTAGCTATGGTAAGAGAGAAAACAATTATATTCCTATATATAGGGTAGAATTTCTTCCTTCATCATTTATTAATTTTCTTGCAAAACAAAACAAAACTGAAAAACTTTATCGGAATGTTTCTCTCTTCAAATCTAATGTGAATTTACTTTTTCATTGTTTGGTTTTCAAATTCAATTCATTTTGTTTTTTGGTTCAAATAAAGTCCACCACACACACTATTTGTGGAGAAATTCCTATTTGTTTTGTTTTTTTTCGGAAATAAATCGACCATATGGGAAATCATGTTGAATAAATGTTTTGTTTTTTGGTTTTTGTTAAAAAAAAATTCTTTTTGCCAAAAACATTCAATGAAAAAGAATGATGAATGTACACAAACACAATGAAAGAAAGAAAACAAACAAAATGACTACCTTATTTTGAAAAAAAGAAAATTCAATAATGCTAGTCACACACCACTAACCACTAACATCAATATGATTCTAATCAATCACGAATATTGAATTTGATAATAATAATAATAATAATAAACCAGAATCGAAACAGAATCAACCACTGAATCAAGATTAATTTCTAGGCAATATTTTTTTCGGTTTTGTTTTTGTTTTGTTTTGAATTCAATATAACTGTGGAAAAAAACCACAACCAAAAATGTTTTTGAATGCTGCAATTCATCATTTTTGTTTGGTTGGTTGTTTGGAATTTTTTTTCAAATTCCAAAATATAATTTTAGCTTACCTTTACAGCAAAAAAAATATTACAATGAAAATTTCAAAGATAAAAGAAAAAAAATGTGGAAACATGTGTGTAGGAACCATACCAAAATTTCACCTTTTGATTGATATTTTTGGTTGATCGTTTTCTTTTCTTCTTTTATTCTCAGTTTTGCAACATCTAAACAGCATTCAAATAATAATAATAATAATGTTGCCAGATGTTATCCATATCCATAATTTTAATATATAATGTTGCTTGTGGAAACAAAAATGCATTCCTTTTTTTCAATGCAAACCAAACTAAAGAAACGAACAATCGATTGTGTTTGTTTGTTTGATAGATTTCGATTGTTCATTTTTCCGGAAAAATGTTTTCATTTAGTTAGTTAGTTGGGTTTTTTTTTCTTTCAATTTGGTTCATTCAGGTAGATTATTATTGTTTTGTTTTGCTTTGAATCTTTTGCAACAAAATTCAAATTAGCCCGAACAAAAAAAAGAGATTATTTTCAATTCAAATTATCATGATGAAAAAAAAGCAATCAAACATTCTGGGCTGATGGATTCAATTCAAATGCAAATTTCTTTGTTTTCATTATCATCATCATCATCATTGAATTAGAAATTCTGTTTCTGAATCTCAATTTTCATTGTTAACAACAAAACAAACGAAAAAATTGTCAATCAGTCAATATCGATATCATTTTTACATACAAATTTCTTCCCAATCATTTTCATTATTCGGTTTTTCGTTGTGTTTCAAATTCTCATCATCATCAACATCATATGATTCTATCTGATTAATTAGTTAATTAGTTTTGTTCATTATTCTGTATATTTTTCGCTGTTTTCGTTTTTGTTTTTGCTGTTTTGGTTAATCAATATAAATATCATCATTGATTGAAAATATCCA